GTAGTAGTAGGAGTAGTAGCAGTAGTAGTAGTAGTAGCAGTAGTAGGATTAGTAGTAGGAGTAGCAGTAGTAGTAGCAGTAGTAGTAGCAGTAGTAGTAGCAGTAGTAGCATTGCTAGTAGTAGCAGTAGTAGTAGTAGCAGTAGGAGTATTAGTAGTAGTAGTAGCAGTAGTAGCAGTAGCAGGAGCAGCAGTAGCAGCAGCAGCAGTAGCAGCAGTAGCATTAGTAGTAGCAGTAGTAGCAGTAGCATTAGTAGTAGCAGTATCAGTAGCAGCAGCAGTAGTAGTAGTAGTAGTAGTAGTAGTACTCGTAGTAGTAATAGTAGTAGTAGTACTCGTAGTAGTAGTTCTTCGTCGTTACAAATAGACCCATTGCTTCTTTAACGTGCTACACTACAGCTCGGTTTCGTACTTTCTATATCTAGATATAAGTGGAAAACACTGAAAAGCTGCTCTGAATTTCAAATACCCTGACCAGGATTCGACTCTGGGACCTCTGGATTTGTAGTCCGGAACACTAAACACTTACCAATGCACCAACACGTAACTGTGATGATGTCTATGTTGAAGAATAGCGGGGATTTACGTATTCATTGTGTCTGAACGGAGCGCCACACCTTTGTCCGTGTGTCTTGTTCGAGAAGGGATTTAAGTCCGTTGCTTAGCAACTACTCTATATACTTGAAATGCAATTTCTAGAAAAGAACACAGTTTCAGAAGACACATTATTAGTTGGTTTTCCAATAAAAGATAGACAGCTATTTTTCTTCAAACTTAAAGTACAGAAACAGCCTAGGTTAGGTACACGAATTTTTTGGACACTATAGACGAACTTCAGGTAGAGTTTAAAAATGGATCATCTATGGTCTAAACCTGGGTCAACATAACCGTGCAAATTGCAAAAATGACCATTTTCAGCTTATTGTCACTCAAGCAACTTCATAAATGCATTAATTTTTATCAACGCTAGTCAGAAAATGTAACTAGATAAAGCCAAGATCGAAAATGAGTCGTGTTAAGTTCGAAGAACTAGGCCAAATTGATTTGATTTGATATTTGTTTAACGCCCGTTTCAACAATTTTCTAGTGATATAAAGGGGTTAATATAAAGGGGTTAAGTTTACCTTTCCATCGTTCCTTGGTGGAAAAAAGCACTAGGCATCAACCTCTCGCACAAAGAAGACTGTAACAAGACTCGAACCCGTGACACTTAAATCAGGGGATATCAGTAAATACAAGTCAACCTTAACCTCTTGACCACGGAGGCGGTATAAAAACTAGAACTAGGTCAAAGAGTCATTTTGATCTTATTTCATTTTTGAAAAAAATATTTTGAAAAATTTTGTTTTAGTAGCCAAAAGATCATTTTTGCCCGCTGTAAAATATAGATACACGTAATTAAATTTTTTTTCCAAAAAGTGACAATTTTTGCTTACCAAAATGTTTCATTTGATGTAACTAAGGTGAATCAAACAGTTGGCAAACATTATCATTTTGACGTTTAAATCACTCCAAGAATCTAATTATTGGCAACAATGTTAATAACCTTGTCTATCACGTTTGATGTCGCGGGAGTGAAGTAACCATGTTTTCTATTTTACTCTTGAGTAATATCGTTTTGGCGTCGACTTCATCTTATATGTGCGGACGTTCGCTGAATTTCACAGCATAATTAGGACCAGAAAATGACAAATGCTTAGTAGTTTAATATCAAACTTAAAGGTGTATTGTCTACCGGAATGGCTGAAAAAATGAATTTTGAAAACAATTTTGTATATGAAATTTCTTTACTATTTTATGAAGAGGGATATGTAAGTAAGTTACTGTCAAGGATGAACTAAGTAAACACATTACAAATTATATTTTATCACCTTTAAAATAGATAGATAGATAGTTTATTAATATAAGACGTGTACAAAATGCAACATGGTCACAAAAATACATACATTCAAATATAATTAAAACATCACGTAATCATTCAAAGTTAACCTTAATTAAGTAGCAAAGTGTTCATTCAATGATAAACTACATATTGGGACTGCCATTAACAAAACCATCTATAAATCTATAAAGCGTAGCGCTACGGTATAAGTTGATTTGTATAAAATTGAATTTAGTTTCCGTCTTAATCCAACAGTTATTGTGAACGTGTATGTTCGAGGCGTCAGGAGGTCTGAAACTATATGCGTGAGTTCGAGGCCATTGCTGGTGGACACTCTTTTATTTATTAAATTCAGTTATTCAATAGTTTGTTCTTACGGATCTCAGGGTGTCCAGAAAATAAATTTCCCGAAGAAAAGGGAAAACTTCTCATATTCTGGAAGACATCCCTTTAAATTAACATTGTGATATTAAAAATGTTACATTTCGTGTCTTTTAACATTGAACTTAATTTAAAACACATTGACGCCGATAACATGCTCGACCGAGCCCCGTAATCCATATTTTATCAAACTCATTTAATAAATCAATATGAAAAGACACTCATGTGATATCCTCTATGTTTATTACTGTAATCTAAATGATCTTCAGGTTCAAGTTTAAAAAATGTGGGCTCAGAATGATGGCAAATTTAGTCAAGTCAAATTTTTTTCGTTTTATAGATAATTTCGAATCTGCGAAATTATTCTAGATATAGATCAAAATGATTCATCTGCTGTGGTCGGTCGGCGTTGTCGGTTAAACAACATTTGAACAATCGGCAGAATTCAGGGGAAAACAGCCTTCAAGGTTAGGTGGTTTCGAATATATTTCCGTACATACATCAACTTCTTCTTTGTTAAACGTTGTGGCTATAATTCTTAGTGTTATATAGTTCAGGTAATCGTATACATGATATTCAGGTTTACCTCGTGGTTCCATCTGTTTCCCCTTAGAAATATCATGTGAATTCCACTCATGTCGTAAATTTTAATCAATTCACTTCGTATAACAGGTGTGCAAACAATACATTAAACATTGTTCTTTGGAACATATCACCATCGCAATAGATACCTGTGTCTCGCAAGTCATTTTTGAAAAAAACTTATCCAAAAGCCATGCACTGACATCTAAGCATGCCACATGGATTCTATTCTTTGATTTAAGGTACTTTTACCTTGAATGAAGCCTTTTCAAGCTGAATGATCATCATGGTGGTTGCAAACGGAAATTATATTTTGCAAACTGTCGTGAATTATTCTATTTTTTGTACCCAGATCACTGCGTATCACTGCTGCGAACTCTGCAAGCACCACTTTCCTTTACACTGTTTAGCAAAATATCGAGCTATTATTTTTGGATCGGTATTTGCTTGGACCCAACTCAAGCCATATAATCTTTCTACTAAATCCGTCTACTGTCCTGTGAATTGCAAATCCGAAGGGTTTAATTTATCATATCGGTCGATGTGCCAGATAAAGTCAGGACTAGGACATGAGTATTGGCGACAAAGTAGACGCTTGCCTTTCCGTCTCTGCATACTTTCTGGTCGCTATCCACAGGAAACGAAGAACAGTTTTTCTTACGTACTTGTAATCCATAGAAATCTTTAAGCCGCCTCCACATAGTCTTATAACCCAAACATCGACCCACTTCCAGATACTTTCTTTTAAAATGGCACTTATAATCGTTTCAATTGAGACTCTGGACCTCTTCTAATTAAGCTCAATCGCTTAACAGTCGTTTTAATTGTCATAACTTATTCTTATTCCATGAATGACCAAAAGTGTAGCTAAATTTCCTTGTACTTGTATCCACGACAGAAGTAATGCTGTATTAGATCCAACTTTACTTGAAACACCTGAGTTCTTTGCTTGTCAACTGCAACACAGCAAGTACTGAATCGACAATAGAACAAGGCCATAGTATAAAGATCTGAAAAATGATCAAAATAAAAGAAAAACTTTGTAAAACATTACGATTTATCATTTAGCCTAAAGGGACAATTATCGACAGGAACCAATTATCATTAGGTCATCATTTTAAGAAGGGACACTTGCTTTGAAGTTTTTTTATTTTGATCTTAAAATCGATGCCGAAAGGAGATAATAAATATGACTTGAGAACATGTTGTTGTTGTCGTCCATAGTAAAAATTTACAAAAAAGAAAAATAAAATAAATACACAATATATCCCATTGTTTTCTCTTTGCAGGGAAGTAAGTGTATTAATCGTCTGATTACTGGTGCCTCGAGGCTAAGTTTGATAACATTTTTACCAACTTTATCATCAAACAAAACAGTATTCTTAATTTGAGAAATTTTATTACATTCTAGAATAACATGTATTAAAATAAACTCAACCATACAAATATAATTTTGCAAATACAAAGACAATGTACTAATATATAACTTACCAAATAACATCCAAGAATACATGCCTTTTCCCATGGTGTAGTAATTACTGAACTGAAAGTGCGGGAAATGACGTGTAATGACGTGGCCTTTTTATAATGTCTAAAAGTCTATGAACTCTGAAATCTGAAGTCTGAAGTCTGAAATCCGAACTCCGAAGTCTGAACTCTGAACTCTGAAGTCTGAAATCCGAACTCCGAAGTCTGAACTCTGAACTCTGAAATCCGAACTCTGAACTCTGAAATCTGAAGTCTGAAATCCGAAGTCTGAAATCCGAAGTCTGAAATCCGAAGTCTGAACTCTGAAGTCTGAAATCCGAAGTCTGAACTCTGAACTCTGAAGTCTGAAATCCTAAGTCTGAACTCTGAACTCTGAAGTCTGAAATCCGAACTCTGAAGTCAGAAGTCACCACCGGTCTTTCGTAAATAATACATTAAGTCGTTTCTGCAAATTATTACATATGAATTTTAGACAACCGGATGCAAGCCCATTTTCAAATATTTAGATTAAGTTAGTTGACGGTTAGTAGTAAATAAAGGGTCGATAATTTATTGTTAGCTTTTTAGTCATATATGTTTTACATAATACAATTACAGATTACGAATACCAATGAGTTTATATATTACTAGTACATCTCGCTTCATTGAGGGGTTAATATCGCGGTAAATCGGACGTCAAATTGGAAAAAGCGCAATATTCGGGATAAGTCTGGCGTCAATGGGAAAAAAGCGCAATATTGTTATTTCGAGGTAAATTAGATATCAAATGGGAACATTTTTAGTCGGCCGCCATTCATTGTGGCTTAACAGTAGACCATTGGATATTGATATTATTATCGTATTGTATTGAAAGCATGCCAACTGTACAGTGTAGTGCGGAATAAAGCAAACAACAATTAAATGAAAAAAATGTAAGCTTTTACTAAAAGCACTTTTAAGTTTGCAATGAATTCATATGTTGAAATTTACAATTTTAATTCATCGACAAAAAGAAGATTTTGATTGGAGAAGATTATCTGATTTTTTTCCTTTAAAGTTAACTGATTAAAGATAATATGAGATCTAATTTATTGAAATCTATCTCCTTCTGTCTCAGTATTGTTTTATTTAAGTTTTGTTTTTGTGCAAAATTGACGATTTTTGAAGATGGGATGCGTGCATCTGATGTGACGGCCACATTCATAGTAAGATCCTTGTCGGAATGTGCTGTTCTGTTGGATAAAACTCCTGGTAGTGTAGCATTTAACTATAATTCGGGGAGTAATATGTGCGAGCTGGTGGGTAGCCAATCGGCTTCAACAACTCCGGCTGTTGGATGGAGAGTATATGCAATCCTAGGTTAGATTATATATCTTGATTTTTATTTATTTTTATTTGTTTAATGTTTTATTTCTTTTACTTATTTATCATCAACATATACAAACAAGTTTCGTTTCTCAATATAGTATTTATCAAAAGAAATGTCTTCGTCAGCGTGCACATGTATGTTTCACATGAACTTTTTTCAGAGTCATGAAAAGAAGAATAAAGTATGCGTCGCATACTTTATTTTTGCCTTTCAAGACGGTTATGGTATACAATTCAGCTTTTGTTTAAAAAACTAAATGGAATAGCACTCAAAACTGTTGTTCAAGATGAAAATGTTAGAAATTATAAATAAATATTTTTAAGATTCTTGTTTAATATTCCGAATAAATACATGTATCTTTGTAAATATCTTTACCGCTATTGCTTTCTTTGCTACGAATATCAAACATACCAATGAAAAAGTCTATAAAGTCTAAACTATACAATATAGATTTGATTATCAATCAAGACATTGCATAAGATTCACCAGTATAATAATGTAAAAAGTACAGTGGCCGAGAAGAAACCGAGATATTGGCCACAAAATAAATCCAAACATTGACATATATTTATTTATGTCATTGAAATAATAGAACTATATCCTTTTGAAATGAGATAAATTTCTCGTAGAGACGGGCTCCTATCTTGTGGCCTCGCGTTGTTATCTAATAAGAATGGGGTAATAGCCACGCGATGTTATCTCATTAGAATGGGGTAGTAGCCACGCGATTGTTTCTCATAAGAATGGGAGCTAGTAGCACACGCGATGTTATTCTCATAAGAACGGCGATAGTAGCCACGCGATGTTATCTCATAAGAACGGGTTAGGAGCCACGCCATGTTATCTCATAAGAACGGACGTAGTAGCCACGCCATTGTTATCTCATAAAGAACGGGGGTAGTAGCCACGCCATGTTATCTCATAAGAACGGGGTAGTAGCCACGCCATGTTATCTCATAAGAACGGGGTAGTAGCCACGCGATGTTATCTCATAAGAACGGGGTAGTAGCCACGCGATGTTATCTCATAAGAACGGGGTAGTAGCCACGCGATGTTATCTCATAAGAATGGGGTAGTAGCCACGAGAAAAATAAGAGGATGGCATGTCATTACCTTCATCAGGGAAATAGATAATATTGAAATAATCTTGTCGTCGGAACGAAATAGTATTTTATGCGATATAAATTATCGTGGTCATGACATAAGCATGTCAAGGGAACGAGATTATAGCAAATGCGAGTTAATTTCTCGAGGCCATAAGATAATTGTGTTGTGGGATGGAGATAATTTCGGGTTGTAACGATATATATCATCTCGCCTGTACGAGAGAGTATATCTTTCTCATGACCACGAGGTCAGTAAAAGAGTACACATGTCACCGCCACGCTTCTGTACAATTTACATGTACTGATGAATCTAATGGGTTACAAAACAAGGGCTTCAGAAATATAAAGGTCAAATACTTGTCGCCGTCGATGATACAAATGATTAGTTAAAACATTTTTAATACATAATTCTAAATTTCAAGAATTAATGATTTTAGTAAAAAAAATCTAATCAAAACTACCTTTTTATTTTCTTTACCTGCCAAATACAATCAAATAATTTAAGGTACTGTTTTTTTTATATTGTCTTGATATCTTTCAATATACCCAATTATACAATAATAGTCATTCGGCATCATTTTGTTTGTTTTTTCTCTTTTTTATTTTTAGGATGTAAAAACCTACCTACAATTGCAAATGGTAATATTATATTTACACCAAAAGATGAATACACCTTGCTTGATACCATAGGAATAAACTGTGACGTTGGGTATGGCGCAATTAAATCAGAAATAAAATGTCTACCTACAGGAGAATGGGAGAATGCTATATGCGAAAAGAGTAAGGCATCTCAATTTATATTGTTTTTTATTTATTATTTTTTCTTGTAATTATTATTATTTTATTATTATTATTATTATTATTATTATTATTATTATTATTATTATTATTATCATTATATTTCATTATATATTCTTATAATTATTTATTATTATTATTATTATTATTATTATTATTATTATTATTATTATATTATTAATTATTATTATTATTATTATTATTATTATTATTATTATAAAAGCTACTATTTTCATTACTATAATAACTGTCATTATTATTATTTTAGTAGAAGTGGTGGAAGAAGTTGTGGTGGTAGTTTCGGAAGTGAAAGTGGTGGTGTTTGTTGTGTCGGTGTTGTTGGTGGTTTTAGTGGTAGTAGTGGTGGTGGTAGTAGCTGTAGTTGTAGAAGTAGAAGTAGTGTCGGTGGTGGTGGTGGTAGTAGTGGTGGTGGTGGTGGTAGTGGTAGTATTAGTAGTTGTAGAAGTAGAAGTAGTGTTGATGGTGGTGGTTGTGGTGTCGGTGGATTGGTGGTTGTAGTGGTAGTGTTGAAGTAGTACTAGTAGTAGAATAGTACTAGTAGTAGTAGTAGAGGTATTGGTAGTAGTGGTAGTGGTAGTGGTGGTGGTAGTGGTAGTTGTAGTGGTGGTAGTTGTAGTGGTGGTGGTGGTGGTGGTGGTGGTGGTAGTTGTAGTGGTGGTGGTGGTTGTAGTGGTGGTGGTGGTAGTTGTAGTGGTGGTGGTTGTAGTGGTGTGGTGGTAGTTGTAGTGGTGGTGGTGGTGGTAGTGGTAGTGGTGGTGGTAGTTGTAGTGGTAAGTAGTGGTGTTGGTAGTGGTAGTTGGTGGTGGTTGTAGTTGGTGGTGGGTGGTTGTGGTGGTAGTTGTAGTGGTGTGGTTGTAATGGTATGTAGTGGTGGTGGTGGTAGTTGTAGTGGTGGTTGGTTGTAGTGGTGGTGGTGGTGGTGGTGGTAGTGGTGGTAGTAGTGGTGGTGGTGGGTAGTGGTAGTGGTAGTAGCTGTGTACTTGTAGAAGTAGAAGTAGTGTCGGTTGGTGGTGGTGGTAGTGGTGATGGTGGTGGTGGGGGTAGTGGTGGTGGTGGTAGTGGTGGTGGGTAGTGGGTGGTGGTGGTGGGTAGTGGTGGTGGTGGTGGGTGGTGGTAGTGGTGGTGGTGGTAGTAGCTGTAGTTGTAGAAGTAGAAGTAGTGTCGGTGGTGGTGGTGGTAGTGGTGATGGTGTGGTGGTAGTAGTGATGGTGGTGGTAGTGGTAGTGGTGGTGGTAGTGGTAGTGATGGTAGTAGTGGTGGTGGTGGTGGTAGTGGTGGTGGTAGTGGTGGTGGTGGTAGTGTGGTGGTAGTAGCTGTAGTTGTAGAAGTAGTAGTAGTGTCGGTGGTGGTGGTGGTGGTAGTGGTGATGGTGGTGGTGGTAGTTGTGGTGGTGGTGGTAGTGGTGGTGGTAGTAGCTGTAGTTGTAAAAGTAGAAGTAGTGTCGGTGGTGGTGGTGGTAGTGGTGATGGTGGTGGTGGTAGTAGTGGTGGTGGTGGTGGTGGTGGTGGTAGTGGTGGTGGTAGTGGTGGTGGTGGTGGTGGTAGTAGTGGTGGTGGTGGTAGTGGTGGTGGTAGTGGTGGTAGTAGTGGTAATGATGGTGGTAGTAGTGGTAGTGGTAGTGATGGTGGTGGTAGTGGAGGTAGTGGTAGTGATGATGGTGGTATTCATAATTATCATCTTCTTTATCACTGTTATTATCATCATCCTCATCGTCATACTTCAAACCAGTTCGAATCCTGACAGGGACATTGGATTCTGTCATGTGAGGAAGCTATCAAACTAGCTGACGGAACGTCGGTGGCTTTACTCAGGTGCCCATTTGTGCTCTTCTTGTAACATAACTATTTTTATCATTATCATTTTTGCCATTTATATCGTCATAACGGACATTAACATCGACAATGTCGTTGCCAAAAACCATTATTGTTGTAATAAAAATTTAAATTATCAATTTTTATGTATACAAATATGCGAGGGTTGTTCGATATGTAATGTACCACAGTTCGATAACGCACGATTTGTGGATTTTGCTAAGGCTTCATAACTATATCTTAAACATTTTCAACGGTATACTAGTTTATCCAAGCCTTAACTTTGATACAGTGTCTCAATTTAATCATTTGAGTCATTGGCAACTGTACCTAAAACGGGTAAAGAATACTGAAGAAAACGGGGCATAAGTTTGCACAAAATTCGATTATTCGATAAAGCAGATTTTTACTGAATTTTGGGAAGTTCATAGTTCTGGTAAGGTATCTTATGAAATAGTTCTTAGGTGAAAAAAGAGTTTATTGACTGACATAGTCCGTGAAAGATGCAGAAAAATCTGCTCGACCTGTGACAGGCAAAATAAATGTATCAAAAGTCAGGGAATAATTAAAAGTGATGGCATGTACACGGTTTAAAATAAACCAAGATGGAACCATAATATTAACAGCTGACCAAAAAAGGGTACGAGTACTACCCAATTTAAGCAATTTTTACTTCAACCAAAGACAAATTACAAACATTATTTTTAGTGACGAAACATGGGTTCAATATTTCAAACCAGTCAGATTGAAGTATTGGAACCATAATATAAATAACCTAACACGATGGAAGGCCTGCTTTGTTTGTTTGTTTCATTTTACGCCTTTTCCCCAACAGTATTTCAGTCATATAGGCGGGTAGTTTCCTAACCATCGTTCCTGGAGAGTTACACCAGTACTAGACTACCTCCCTCCGCGCTAAACTACCAAAGCATCTCCCGGGGATCGAATCCACGCCAGAGAGGTAACTGGATTAGAAATCATCGACTCTAACCCTTCGGCCACGGAGGCGGTATGCGAAAAGGGCCATGATCACAAATAAAGCCCTCTGTTACATATCCTTCTCGTGCAATATTAAAGCCATACGAATTACAGTGCTGAAGGTACAACATTGTAGCAGGTCGGGTTAACAATGATAATACAATATTTTGATAATAACTCACTTTTTTAAAAATAAGTTCTATTCTCTATGAATCAAAACTTTCTCGATTTTTTTTCAGAAATAAGTGACTGTTCAGAGATTCTAACTTACAACCCTGGTGCTACTAGTGGCATTTATACTATAAAGCTCTGGCAATCCGGACAAACCCTTTCAGTTTACTGCGACATGGTAACAAGCGGTGGAGGATGGACAGTGAGTTGACACCTTTTCTTTGAGTTCTTTAACAATTATATGTTAGTCCAAACTCATATTGTCACCTTAGTGCAATAACGGAATAAGAGTTTCTAAAATTAATCAGTTGTTTCAGCCGATATCCTTACCTTCATTCCCTTTTTCGAGAAATTCTTTAACAATCATATGAAAATCAACAGTGAAAGATATCTACAATAACCGAGCTGTTTGAACTACCTCATGTAACTTCATTCTCTGTGTTATGATTTAACTTACACGACTGGCTTATAGAGAGCACCTGCTCAACACACTCTTTTTACACCCGGGCTTCGCTTAAAATAAGGTCTGTGATTACCAATGCTAATGTTGAGGGCATAACCTTTTAAAATTTAATGAAATATGATAAACAACAAAGACAACAAAGACCTAGCAACAAAAACCAGAGGCAAGGAGTCCTAGAGGACCCCAAACAAAAATAGGACATGGCGCAAGGCAGAGCACGGACAGGATTATCACATAAATGATACTTAAAAAGAAAATATAATAACCGACAAGGAAATTACAATTAAGATGGCTCTCCTTTCTGATGATTTAGATCGTTTAAATTAGCAAATATGTTCAAAACTGAAATCAGTTCTTCGACCGTGCTACTATGATAATTTGTGGAAAGTGTGATTTTTTTTCTCAACTTTGATAGAGTGCAACACTCTACGGCCATTTGTGCGGAAGCCAAGTGTGTGTTACTGTCAAAGAGTATATGCAACGGCATATATTTAGTATTTTTTCTTTATTGCTACAGATGTGAGTCTTATTGCGTCAGTTATTTGATTGAAATGCGTTTTGTCAAAAAGAAAAATGTTTAAGAAATGCAATTGACAACAGTTCATCAAATGTTTCGTTATTTTACATATTTAATGGCAAATCTAAGAATTCAATTCACAGCTAGACAGAACTGATTTAAACATGTATTGTATCAATTAAGAGCTTATACAACATGTACATAATTCATGCAAAACAGGGTTTAAAAAGCGAGATATTGGCCTAGTTGCATTCATAATTAAATATCCCCTCGTAATTTCGACGTATTTCTCTTTTTTCTTCTTTTTTCTTTGACATGACAATATGAAAGACATCCCCTAGTATTTTTTTCGAGGAATTTACAAGAAATAAGTCCATCAAGACACTAGTGAAAATACGGAAAATATGGTTAACTTCCATTAAAAATAAATTTTTACAGTGGAAATACGGAAAATGAAAATACGCGACGTCATTTAGCTGCTAACTACGGGGAAGCGTCCTGGTGCAAATTTAACATGTTCTATAAAAAAGATAACTCCTACGTAGGACTTTGCAACTCCTACGTAGGACTTTATAACTCCTACGTTGGAGATAAAAAAGCCTAATTAGGAGTTTATTACTCCTACGTAGGAGTTTGTAAGCGGATGGGATGGTAGGTAGGTAGGTAGGTAGGTAGATCAGGATCCATGCCGTTCGCTATCAGTTTCTCTACTTGTAATAGGGTTGGTAAGCGAACATCATGGATCTTGATCAGACTGCGTGGATGCGCAGGCTGGTCTGGATCCATGCTGGTCGCAAACCCATTATGTTGGTTCTGTCGTGACGCGGCTTAAATATTCATTTTGCATTACACGTCGCCATGTCCAGTGCATTAAAATCACATTAACTGTGATAAATGAGTACTTTCATCTTCTTTAGAAATTATACTCAATAATGAATTGAAATCTTACTGGACGACATTCATGCATAGTTATTAGGAATAACAGACACAAATATAATTGCACTTAAAATAATAAAAAGAAGTATTTCAATTTAAAGAATGACCTTCTACGTTTGATCTACAGATTCGGATCTTGCACTTATGCTAAAAATATTTTAAGATCCATCCATAAATGACACAGATATGAACAGAACACAAAGAGTTTACGAATGGAAGAAAGGAAGGAAGAAATATGGACGCTGCACTTTTGCGGTGCTTTAAGCTTTAATCGATTGAACGTACAAAATTACTGCACCGATACATAAACAATAAAACAATTAAAACCTAAAAATAATCAGCCTTTACCACAAGTACAATTTGTATTAAGTCAGAATAGTCATCTTATTTATGACAAGTTTTACGTTTCAGGTTTTTCAGAGACGTATTGACGGCGATGTAAACTTTTATCGCACTTTTCCGGAGTATGAAGATGGTTTTGGAACTCCAGATGACGAATTCTGGCTAGGTAAACTACTTTTAACTATTGCCGAGGGTTGTCCGGTATGCAATTTGTATTGTACGATATCACAAAAGCAGTCACTTAAATAGCTCAAACTAAATTTGAATTTTGAATTTTGAGATTTGAAATAGATAGTTTTAATTTCTGGATCCATTTAAAAAAATTCGTCACTGATTTGACTTCTGACTGAGTCAAGATTATACATGTTATATCGGGACATTTATCGACGACTAGATAAGACTTTGTAAGTTTTGGAAAAAGGAAAATATCGCATGAGGCTAGATATTGAAAGTATAGTGGGTGTGACAAGATGGTACCCTCCTCCTACTTCAAAAATTGCTTCACAAGCTCAGATGTATGTCAACATGCCATAAAGGTACTCCACTGCGGTTGAAAAGACTAAAAACATAGCATTTGAATTTCTTACATAAATGAGCTGGGAGACTTTAAACAGAAATATAATTATGCAAAGATAGTTAAGACATATACTTTGAAATAAATTAAAAATCGTATTTTTATGCTTTTCTTAGCCACATTTGAGTGAAAAGCGTTTAAACGCTTTTCATGTTGGCTCATTTTTTTACAATTTGGATAATTATTCTAGAAAAACGAAGCGCACAAATGATCTGACATTAGTGGTCTAAACCTACATCAAATGGTACATTTATCTGGAAAAAATAATTTCAGTTCCATCATGTAAAAATAGACTTTTTAACGTGTTGAGCAAGCCATCATTAATATCTTTTTTTTTTCGTCACCAGTAACAATATTCGCAAATGTTGTTTTTGACAATTGCTTTGCGGTTAATGTTTGTACCCTTTTTAGTCATCTGGGTTATCCATCTTGCGGAAATAAGTCCTACTTTCGAAATATGCTGCAAAATTAAAAGAACCAGCATTAGAAATTTGCCAAAGCTTTCGCAGTATCTCAAAGCGTGTACCTGTCATCACTTTAAATTGTTTCCCGGTCTGGCCTTTTACAGTCACGGAGCGGCCGTATTGTGGAAGAATAAAGAAAAGAATATAGTATTACGCTAAAATGAAAAAGACAATATTAAGACGTATGTAACAAATACGGAATGGATATGAACAGTCCTAATGCGTTACACAAACTTAAGTTTATTCTCGATTTATTAAGTTCAATAAATTTTGGAAGCTGATACATCCGTAATCAATGTTTTGTAGAATCGAAAGTTCACAATCACATATGGGACATTGGAACAGAAAATGAAACCTGAATATCTAAAATTGAATATTTATTAGATGTGAGAAGAAAAAAGAAATGCTATTCTTTCTGATTACAACATGAAAATTTACAACTCTCGTATTATCTAAGAACATGCAAATTTGGTACTGCTCGACTAATCTTGTAAAACTATTTAGATGTTTCTTACTTTGATTATAATGTTTGATGTTTTAAACAAGAGTGATTCGCCCCCTACTTACTACAATGCCCGACAAACAGATTTATGCATTTCACAAACTAAGCAAATGAACATTCATTCAATTTTAGGGTTGAAATATATAAAGGAGTTGGCGGATAAAGGTCCTACAGAAATACGGACGGACATGGCTAAAGCCAGTGGTGTAACGGCATTTGAGACTCATGCCGGGTTCAGTCTCTCGGGACCTAACTATGTATTTAACATAGGGTCACTTGTGGCGGCTACACCAGGTAATTAATATGATTTGTAATTCAAAGCTTGACAATGAATTTATAATCGCAAACCCCCAAACAACCCAATCACACAGATACACCCGAAAGTTGAAATAGTAAGTTCACGAAGTTGAAAACTTGAAATATTTAATTCATAAGTTGAAATCCTAAAGTAGTGAATATGAAATCGTGAATTCGTAAATTCTGTATGTTGAAAACGTGAATTCACGAAGTTAAAATCGTGAATAACTGAACTTGAAATCTTTAATTCGTAAGATGATATCGTAAATTAATGAATGTGAAGTCGTGAATTCGTGAATTCTGTATGTTGAAAACGTGAATTAATGAAGTTAAAATGGTGAATTCCCGAAGTTGAAAATTTGGAATCCATCAGTCTTTTGTAGTAATGGTACCCAGTAGTCAGTATATCTTTCTTTTGCAAGTCATAGTTTTCCGCCTATCATTCGAGTTTGAAGTTTGCATAGAAGGCACAGTTGAATATACTTTTATCAGATAAATACAATAATCATTAACCTTAAATTCTGGTTATGTTTGTCATTTTTTATAGTACATTCATTACTATCCTACATACATTATATAATTCCAGGAGACACTTCAGGGTACGGATTGTCTTATAATAAAGGACATGCTTTTACCACGAAGGAGTTGTCAAACTGTGCTGTCAATCGTCTAGGCGCGTGGTGGTATTATGGCTGCACGTGGTCCAACCTCAATGGGGAATACCGAACACCTGGATCAAACGATAACAGCTATGTCGGTTTAATACATTATGGATTTGGACGATTTGAAAAGTTAAAGTCTGCAAGCATGATGCTTCGAAGGCCTTAAGATATTGCATTACAAATAATTTTATAAGGTCTTCAACTGTGGGTATCTTAAATGGGCTTACAAATCTTTCAATTTTGGACAAATAATTAATCATTGCAGGGAATGTTTCAAAGTATGACAGTGCATATATTGGTTAGTCAGCACGGCTGATTTTGGTCTGAACTAGTAGCCTTGGAAGAATCAGTTGCCACTAGTGGATTAAGTGTTAAGTGAGGCGAGGAAGAGAAATAATGACTATTGCATCATGCATAATGAACAATATACAACATATCAAATAAAATAGTTCAGTAGAGTAAATTTGCTTTTTAACACCGGTATGGGGTTTTGATGTGTAGGTATTGACCAAAGTGTCCGAGAAGGCAAAGATGTCTGTAAACTGTATTTTCGGAAATGTTAACAACGGTTACATGCTCGGTTCGGATGTGCCTGTTCATGTCCTGCTATTGTAAAATAAAACATTATTGACCAAAGCACAAAGCCTCTGTTTTTCCAACTAGTTCAATTACTGTATTAACTATGCTCTGTAGAGTTGTATTTACCCGGAAGACATAATAACAATTGTAAAAGTTATCAATAAACTTTATTTTCTTATTTTTGTCATCATCATAATTTGACGTCATCAAAACGTAATTCTGACGTTTGTTTCTTTCGTCATCCTTTAAGGTAGATTAAAGTTACAAAAGATACTATATTAGTATATTATATTAGTAAGCAATGTATTTGTATCTTTGTCATGTTTTAAATGGTTTTAAACAGTGATATATAAAGTAAAATAATAACTTTACTGTAAACTTTCAATTTATAATATTTTTGCACTTTTTGTGTGTTTATTTTTTGTCTGGTGAATAAAATATGATGACGAAAAACATGTGTTTATCAGTTTCTTCATTTATTATACAATTTACACAGTCAAGCAGTATATTTTAACATTTCGCAAACCCAAGTATTCCAGCATTTTGGATAAAATGTGCAGCATGTTACCAAACTTCTCAATATCAAGACATGGTTTGAAATATGATAAACAAGATCAACAAGGAAAGGCGGCGTTCAATGAACGCAACCCCCATATGACCCAGCAACAAGAACCAATGGCAAGGAGCCCAGGCGGACCCCAAACAAAAACAGGACAGGGCAAAGACAGAGCACGGACAGGTTAAACATTAAATAATAAATAAATTATAAATGATTAAGAATTTAAAGAAAATAATAAAAGGCCCACAAAGGGGAAGGGGACAGGAGACCGGGGGAAGGGGCGGGGGGTTAAGAAAATAAATAAAAACTAGAGGCAATGGGGAAGATACTTACCGTAGACGACAAGGGACTTAAAATTTTCATTTTAAGGTGCACTGGAATAAGTGAAGATTAGCGTAGTGTAAATGTTGCAAAACATGTTTCGAATCCTGCCTTCTGCGCTTGGGGATTGTGCATTGTTATAGCATTTTGTACTTCATTTCTCTCTTTCAATGACTGCAATGCAAAAATTCTAAACATTGAAGAACTCTAGATAGAAATGTATTAATGCTTTATAAATGAACACTTTTTTATTTACAATAATGTTATTTATCTGCTCATGAAAGATAATGATCAGCGTCAGGCTGCATACTTTAATAACCCAGTGACATTTCACCGGCAGCGAGGCAGTAATATCATAAAGCTCCGAGGAACTACATACTGTTTTTAAATCCATTAGAAATAGAACAAGAAATACATGTAGAACGAATACAGGTACTAATACAGGGCAGGATGACACGTCCACTGATTTGGGGAAAACTGTGTTTGTAGCCGTTAGCTCTGTCGTTATAGCTGGGGAACTGTCATTATAGGTGGGGAACAATATTCCGAGCGTATCGAGGTCAAGTCCCTAATAGACTGCAAAATGTCCTCACATTGTAAGATTGTCCTCATAATGCATATATGAGAGTTATAAAATGTACTCGTACTTACAGTAGAATTAAGTTGCGAGACAAAAAACTGTGGTCCAGAATGCAAAGACCCACCATGGTATACACACATGCATATTCTATGTCGGGAAGGCAAAACGTCATTATGATATGAATTTAAGTCTCTTAAACAGGTACTCTAGTCCTTAACTGTTGACATTTATACAATGTAACTTTAAAATGTAGGTCAATATTCGTTTATTGGAACTTATTGAACAATCAACGGAACTGAGATTTCACCTCTAAATGAAAAAATTTCATTCTTTGAAATAAAAATTAAATGAAATCGATAATAGTAGTGGTGGTCAAAAAATTTGAATTAAGAGCATTTTTCTATACATAACCTAATTTCCTTAAAAGCATGGTAAATAAAATTGCTGTCCGTTGAAGTTTTAATCGTTTCGTGTCATATTTTTGTTTGACTTTACGGAATTTTTCATAGTGTTGTCAACATCAATTAAACAGTAATTGTTCAAAAAGACCACTTAAAATAAATGTATTATGTAAATAGTCTTAATTAAATGAGGGTCCGTTCGCCTTTTTAGACACAAAGAACAGCTTTCCCTGTCGAATACGGACCCCGGACATGTAACCGGTCATGCCCTGATAGAGTTAATCTTAAAGCACAAAGTGGTAATAATTTATCTCCATGAACGTGAATTTTCCACAAATTATTACACAAAGGTAATAAAAATTTAGACAAAAGAAGATCACTGAACAGCAGTCAATTAGCAACTATAAAAGTAAAGTAACACATGACAATAATGAAAGAAGATAGCCCTGGTAAGGCAGGTTGTTGCCAGCAAATGCAGTCAAGTTCAAGCCTTCTCAGGCACCATAGCACCCTTCCTCGTTGTCTCTCCCCACCTTGAAGAGCAACACCCTGCCCTTAGTCACGGTATGTAATCGTTTCGGACTGATTTGGAATATTTCCCCGTTCCTGAACTGATTTGGATTTATAGCACCGGATTGATAAAGATAAAATTGATTTTGTGCTTGACGGGGTAAGAAAATATTTAAAAAAACTAGAACTATGTCCAAAGGACACGGATGCCCCCACTAACAACATATATATGGTATATAGTGAAAAAATGAACAAAGTGCCATTATTCTGTTAAATTTGGTCGCAGCAAAATTCCTTCCTTTACTACCATCTACACATTAAGGTTGTTCATCCCTGAAAAATGAAGCAAAATCTGCCATCCAGTTTAAGAGGAGTTGCGTTCACAAGATTTCGGGACGTACGGACAGATGTACGTAAGGACGGACGAACGGACAAGTGCAACGCTATATGCATCCCACTTTGTGGGGGCATAATAAACACATTTTCATCTGTTAGTCTTCGAATATTTTACTTGCACGGAATTCATGGTTTGTTAACGGTCTTTAATCAGTTGGAATCGAAACAAATATTTCACATGTCAGTGAAGTAGTAGTAAACACTAGCATAAAATTGCCAAAAAGTCATTGGCATTATCTATGATTTTTCATTGCAGGAGTGGGGAAATATTCCAGATCAGTGTAAGTCATAACAATTTATACGTATTCCCGAACTATATTACGCATGCAAACATACCGTCTTATACGTTGATCTTCAATTTTCAATCATCTGCCGATACTCTGTGCGCGTACCGAGGATATAGACATAGACAAAAATGCATTGTTTAAGTATGACTTTGTGTCCGAATGCTCCAAATCTTATTACATTTTAATTCAGAGTTCATTGCTTACATGATGCCCCAAAATTTCACGTCAACACTACTTATTGAGACAATCTGAGGTTAACACCATTCTAATATAAAACCACTTTTCTCAAGAACACAAGCTGTCTCATTATTGAGGTTCTGTTGTACATAATCAAGCAAATCGCCCGGACATTTTGTTTGAGTTAGGTTGAGTTAGTTGAGTTTGCTGTAAAGAAGACCCTCTATGGCCTCTAAACAAATGGGACTAAAAGCAATCAGACAAATGGTGTTTTAACGGTTGGCTAGAAAAAAATGCTTTTTTATACGAATATTTATACGCTTTTTATACAGAAAGAACAAATCGACGGTCAAACAAACAACCATGCCACTCGGAAATCTCAAGGCATTTTGCTCTGGTCAGGGCTTTTGTTTTTATATTTCTATGAAGGAAAAACGAATCTGTAACGAATCAGACAAATGATAATTTAACGGTTTGCTCAAGCATTTGGGGTTTTTTAACGAAATTTCTTAGAATTTATATACTTAAAGAACTAAACGCATGTCCCAAAACCGACCATTTTCTTGCTATCATTGTCTAAGTCTAAGAAGTTTAACTAAAGTAACAATGATTAACATAAAATGTTGCTTTTATAATATCCATTTTGATAAATCATCATGTTTAAATAAGGTGAAAACGACAACTCTAAGACGAGTCTAAATAGTGATTAACTAAAATGGCGGACGAGATATTCGGAAACACTCGGAACACTACTAATTCATTCATATATATTTAACGGTGCTAAATACATGCATTTACTTACAGGTTACTGTAGGTTCACATTGTCCGCCATAAAATGACCTATTATTAGTTTAAAATTCATATATTGGGCTAATACTCCATGGAAATTGCATGGAAGTTGTCACCACTTAGTGCTTTAACATTAAGCTTTTAAGGACATGACGGGTGACATTTCCGGGGTCGTACCAATCGGAACATCCTCGGCTATTATCTATAATAACCTCGGATTGAAAGTAGTTATACCACGATGTTTACGATGTAAACAGAAACAGAGATAATGTAAAACCAGTGTATATTTTTGACATCCAAAAGAAAAGGTATGCCTGTTCCGGTACTCTTATGATTGGAAATATGTCTGACAACAATTTGTAATGTAAATATACCCACTGATTTACAATTGTTTAACAAATCCGACTAAATGTCAACAGAGTGGGTTTTTTTGTACTTTCGGTTTCTACAACCATAAAAATAAATATATAAATAATTTATTGTTTGCTTTTGTAACTATGCATTCACTTATTTTAGATGGACTTTTACTTCACATTTTGTAAATAAACTTGTCAACAACTCCCAGCATTAAATTACTATCTGTTTACATGTTTAGTTTCTTAGCGTATGTTAGACCGAAATACCACATCCTTTCTGTGTATTCATACTTTTGTGTTCGAGGTCTTTATCCGAAGACTGACGGAAAGGGCCGAAAAGTTGCGATTGGGGTCGTACTTGTCAGCAAAGCTGCTTTTTGTGCCTGAAAGGACGGATTAACCCTCAATAAGCACAGGTCTCATCAGCAGCAGCATCCATTTACAGGAAAGATCTGGTTTATATATTGAACATTTTATGCTTGTAATTAAATCATAAGAACTTTCCGCGTAATAGGTAGTACCTTATTTTATATTAATTGTATATTATAGTAGTATATAATAGTTTTCTATAATAGTTTTGTAAATAACTTTGTCACTTTCGACTGGATAGTGTTGTCATCTGACAAAAATAAGATTTAAACATTTCTTTTTCTATTTATTATCTTTCTTATCAAGGCATAAACCGCTACCAGTATTTCCTCCTTTGTTTGTAAAATGAAAGTAACACATTATTAAAATCCCCAGATAACACTTAATTAAAATGTTTCATGGCCTTGTCAGTAAACATTCCACAATTGTCCAAAACAAGAAGACACTTTCGGTATAGAAATGTAGGAGCGTTATCATTCGACCGTTGTTTAGACATGCCCCTTATCACTCACCGGTGTCGTGAGATTTAACGGTCGTGAGATTTAATCTAAATACACCTACCATTTATAAAACATTTATTAACATGTTGACCAATAAAATTCGCCAGCAGCTCGAGGTGTAAACTTTTAACAAACGACTTTAACGTTTCATTTCAGACGTACAACACCTTAATTATGGATTAAACGCTCTCGAAGAATAATATATAAAGAAAGGGGACCATCTATTTATTTATTTGTTCCTTTCGTTGTGTTTTCACTGTTTCAACAATGATACGAGCTGGACTTGTTTGCTTGTTTATTTTCTATAGTAAGTATATATGATAAAAATGATTGTTTTGTGTGTCTGATGCGCGTTTTATTGTTCCATTTATGAGACATGGTGTACTTAAAGTGTACAGATATGAATAATTGTTATATAACAGATCTCATGTAAGGTTAACTATTTAGTTAACCGCTCTTTTGGAACATCTGCTGTTGGCTAAAAATTGTTTGAACTTTAAAGGGACTCCACCGAGGTTTAAAAGCCTAAAAACATACCATTTGAATTTCTTACATAAATGAGCTGGGGTACTTTAAACAGAAATATATGCAAAGATAGTTAAGAAATATACTTTGAAATAAATTGAAAATCGAATTTTTATGCTTTTTGTAGACCGATTTTGGTGAATAGCGTTTAAACGTTTTTGATTTTGTGTCATTTTTTTACAATTTGAATAATTATTCTAGGAAAAGGAAGTGCGCGAATGATCTGAAATTTTGCACAAAGATTAGTGGTCTAAACCTACATCAAATGATACATTTATCTGGAAAAAATATTTCCAGTCCCATGATGTCAAAAAACCTCAGTGGAGTCCCTTTAACTTTAATGTGAACTAACACAAGATACCACAATAAAATACGATAAAAATTAGAACGCGTATTGATATGCTCTTTTTCCTTTTTGTATGTATGAATGTCATTATAATTTTAAAAGGAATAATGTCCCTTTTAAATGACAATAATAATACAATAAATGATAATATGCTTTTAAATATAGGTTAAAGTTTATTAGTACGTATTTACAAAATTAAATTGGTCGTGATACGCCTGACCAAATTAATTTTGTGAATACGTTCTACTAAATTTTAAATATAGGTTAAAGTTTATGACATGTAGTACGTATTTACAAAATTAAGTTGATTGTGCCGTGTGGAGGCTGCAAAAAGTTGCCCCATACACATCTGCGGATGTTTCTGAATTCAAAATTTTACCATTTCATGTTTAAATGTTGAATTCTGCTTAAGCCGTTGCTAGTTGCGTGGACGATAGTTTACACATTTTAGTACCGTCCATGAACAGGCTCAATCAAACCGAGCCTGCAATAGTTTCAATTTTGTCGTTTTCTGCTTTCTTTAGGGATTCTTATTTTCTCTATTTCATCGCCACATCTGCATTGTCTTTGCCGTGTGTAGGCTGTAAAAAGTCGCCCCATACATTCAATCACAGATGTTGTATTTTCTATCCCTAAAGATCGTTCAGCACGACATTATGATTGTTATTTTTAGTATCTTGTTGCAGATTCAAAAATACTGATTTGCCATACACATAACATATCTTTTACTTCCTTTGCCTTGTTGGCAATCAATATAATTAAAGTATGGAAGTCAAAATACTAATTTGTTTACATTTTGCTGCCTTTACGACACAACACTGCATTCAGCACTATTATTTCGGTTATTAAACATGTTGCATGCTCTTAGTCCATAATTAGAACATTATGAAATACATCTTAGACATTTCTAAAAAGATGTGGTAAATATCATGTTTTTCTGACGGTTTTGATTAATAAAACATCATTAAGTTGAGCCGCGAAATTAAACCCATCAGCCACATGTACATCAAAGAACGTAATAAATTAGCAAACTTACGAAAGATCGGTAGGGCCATTTCAACTTCAGGAATTTCCGATTTTATCTTCATTAGTTCACAATTTTAACTTCGTGAATTCCCGTTTTCAACATACGGAATTCAGGATTTCACGATTTCAGCTTCATGAATTCCCGATTTCAACTACACGATTTCACTTTTTCAACTTCATGAAGGTGAAATCGTGGATTCGTGAAGTTGTAATCGTAAATTCATGAACTTAAAATCGTGAATTCATGAAGTTGAAATCGTGAATTTATGAAATTCGTGAATTCATTAAGTTGAAATGCCCCCACCGGTCTTTCGTACAAACTAAGCGAAACTAATCTTCAATCTAATATTTACTTCCGTTTAATCTTATATATGTTCTAATAAATGTTTCTATATTTTTGTACAGTTTTAGCCGTGGTATCGTCCCAGTTTGTTAATCCTTACGGCAATGGATGTCCCCCATTTATGTGCCCGCTGCAATGCAAGTATGGGTACGCTGTTGACAGTAACGGATGTAAAATTTGCAGATGTTCTGCCACAGTAGAGCCTATAATATACAACGGTAAGACACAACATCTAATAAAATGATGGTTTTATATATATAAAAAAAAGCATATTCTCAATAAAAACTTTCGTTTTAGTGTCTTTCAGGTGTAGTATTCACAGTGCATGGTCATAATTTTACTTTAAGTAAAAGCTTGCTTGCTTTCTTTCTTTCTTTTTTTCTTTTTCTTTCTTTCTTTCTTTCTTTCTTTTTTTCTATCTTTCTTTTTTTCTTTATTTATTTATTGCCAGATAACATACAAAGAAAAAATCTTACTAATCTACTTGATAAAAAGCGACAATTCTAAAGTTAATATTGTCAGGAAACAAGTAAACCGCCGGACCCATTTTTTTCATTTCATACAATTTTATGATATTTTTTTCTATTCGTATTTTAGGACCAATGAATCCGGGAGGCAACCCTTTCCATCAGGGGGGAGCGTCAATGGGCGGGGCAGTAACTCAAAGCCCCTCCTCTTCTTCCTACAATAAACCTTGCGTGAATGGCACAACGTGTGATTTAACATGTTCAAATGGGTATTACAATGGACCAAATGGATGTCAATTCTGTCTCTGTGCAGCGTCACAGGCTGGTAAATAATTCTAAGCAGTCGTTGTACCCGCATCTCATATAAAAGAGTTTAAAGCATCTTCAAAATTTTACATAACCTGTAATTTCAATGATAAGTAAAAAACGTTGTCAAGTGTACAAATAAGATTTCGTTCGTTCCTTCGTTCCTTCTATTTATTTATTTATTTATTTATTTATTTATTTATTTATTTATTTATTTATTTATTTATTTATTCATTTATTTATTTATTTATTTATTTTATTTATTTATTTATTCATTTCATTCATTTCACTTCATTTCATTCATTCATTCATTTCATTTCATTCATTCATTGCATTCATTCATTTCATTCAATTCATTCATTTCACCATTTCATTCATTCATTTCATTTCATTCATTCATTCGTCCGTCCGTCCGTCCGTCCGTCCGCCCGTCCGCCCATCCATCCATCCATTCATTCATTCATTCATTCATTCATTCATTCATTCATTCATTCATTCATTCATTCATTCATTCATTCATTCATTTATTTATTTATTTAATTTATTTATTTTATTTATTCATTCATTTATTTTTATTCATCTGGGGCGACAGGCCGCTTTAATGCAAGATACATTTGTGGTTTTTTGTATTTAAAAGAACATTTGATTTTCGGTCATCAATGCATACGATATATTAAACTTAGATCTTAGTTATTAACCCTGATTGAGAAAAATATCATCAAAAGAAGCACAATTGAAAAGAAACATTTATTTAATTGATGATTTGAGATTGTTCATGTCCATTTTTACTTATAAAAGACCATGCTTATTAAAAAAACATCAAAATGTTTTGGCAAATATTAGCATATTTTCGTACAACCATGTATCGCCGTCGAATTAAAGGCGTACGATCGATAAATTCATCTAATTTCGTAGACATGAAATTTCGTGTTTTTGTTGAAAAGGACATATTCGTTGGATCTTGAACGTAGATAGTCTGTTTTTGCAAAAAGGTAAAATGAAAAAAAAACCTTACATCAAACAAAAAAAAATTATAATTCGTGGATTGACCTACCCACGAAAAGCACGAAAATTAGTGCACCACGAATAATAACGATGTTGTAGGAAACGAAATGTACTGGCTAATGACACAACATGAAGTTGTGACATTGTCCATTGATACAAAGCATTGAGATCTGGCCTTGACTTTGACAGAATAATTTAGATATTTTGGAACTTTGTTCAGATTGTGTTTTGCATTTTTCTGGCCTAAGTTGATTTGTGTACATATTTCAAATTACGTTTGATGTTGCGTATATATATGACATTATCTTGCACTTACAGTTAGCCAACCGACCAACACTTACGTAAACCCATGTCCTGATGCTGCCAGCTCGTGTGATATGGTTTGTATGTACGGGTTCGAGACAGAAAGTAGCGGATGTCAGCGATGTTCTTGTAGAAACCCACAAAACACCGGTATGATTTTGATTTTCTTACTGTCAATAAATTTGTTCTTTCCATGGACTTAAAGCTGCTTATCTTCACAGGAGCAAAAAAATTTTTTTTAAATCAAACTTGAGAAAAAGTATTAAAATTTAAGAAAAGTAAACAGATTCAAGAAAAAACTAACAATTCCTGTTATGTGTCATTCATGGCCGATTTTGCAGTTTCTCGCCATATGTCTAAGGGCTTTGCATATCTTGACCTTTCTTGGTAATATACATGGGTTGTCTGTTCTGTTTTTAATGTCAAAATTTTTTCCTTCACTTTGCAATATTTTACTTATTAAAGCATTATAATTATATTACCAGCTTTGGCACTTTAAACAGAAATATTTGCAAAAGATAATTAAGAAAGAGAGTCCAAAAAATAAATTGAAAATCCTATTTTTGTGCTATTCTTAGCCCGATATGAGTGAAAAGCGTTGCAACGTTTTATTATTTTGGGTCATTCATCACAATTAAAAAACATATTCTGGAAAAACGTTGTCACCGAATGGTCTGAAATGCTGCACACAAGTTATTGGTTATGACCTACATCAAATGGAACATTTATCTCGAAATATTATTTCCAGTCCCCGCACTAAAAAGAACGTCAGTGGAGTCCCTTTAAAGCATATTTATTATGTGTACTTTATTGGTTTATATACCTCCATCAAATTGAATAGTAATCTCAAAAAATCATTTCCAGTCCCCCATGTCAAAAAAGAAAAATGTCAGTGAAGTCCCTTTAAAGCATATACAATGTAAAGTTAAGTGTATACAAAAAAAATGTAATCGTTTTCTTCTTGCAGAAACTACAACTCCAGCACCCCCTGTCACAACCACTTTATCAGAGGGTGAATGTCAGCAGAAGATCACGGAATGTCAGCTTAAATATCCCTTTGGTTTTATGACAGACGACTCATGTACAATGTGTATTAGCAAAGATGACATTTACCCCCGTAAGTTTAATATTTATCGACGATTCTAAATAATTATGAACATGTTCGGGGTGGCGAAATAGCATAAATTGACCATTGCAGTATCGCTTTAATCGAGTGTGTTTAATTACATTTCCTAGATATTCACATTTTATCTGGCCCAAACAGGACACCGTACTTTCCTCACTTCTATTTAAGTAAAATCAAAAATAACTACTTTCCTGGTAAAAAAAACAATGGGCGATGTATTACGACCGCCACCATATGTTTAAAGTTGTGATAGTGTTTTTTTGGATATTTATGTTATCAACAGTCCATTTTCCAAGAGAATTGTTTATTTCAAAACTTTCAAAGTATATCAGCACTAGTATTGTCAAAGTTTAATTTAAGACTGTGATTATTATTTACCACCCATTTACGTTGCTTATTATTTGCGAACTTGTGCCAAATCGACTGAAATTTACAGTTGATTACATCGTATAGGACTTAGGTAAAAAAGTCTAGTCAAGCTAAAGGAGAATGCGCGACGTTACTCGGCAAAATCAGTAAAAATACTTAAAATTACTTAAAAAGCATAAAATAAAAAATAAAATTAATTTGTTTTACATACATATAAGATTGAAATGTATTTCATTCGTGGCGAAAATATTGCATCTGGGGTTCATCCAGTGAAATATATTTCAATCGTACATGCAAAACAAAGAAATATCCTCTATGTCATGTGTTTATGTTTAATATAAAAGAGTTTAACTGTTTGATCTCTGCGAAAATGTAATAAAAATTGATAAATGTGTGATACGGTGCTTGACACCGTTTCCATGTTAATTTCATGACATCGTTTAAGATTATTTAATCACAATGCAATTTTTATCTGCGGACTGTCAAGATATTCCGCCCACGAAAGGTCAACAAATTATCACGAAATTGAAGATGTCCGAAACGCCCCTTAAAGAAAAGTTACACTTAAAGTGGAAAATACCAATTATGTTAAATTATCTGTTCAAAGTCACCTTGAAACCCTGTGTAAATTTAATATCAATGAAAGCCTTATTTTGTAAATAAGTGAATTTCTGTGGTCACTCTGTCTCATTTTCATATTTTCGCCTGGAGCACCGGGAATCGAAAAGACGACAAAATGGAAACTTTGTCGTATTTTCGTGTTTTCGTCTGCCGCCCCGCGGAACAAAAATGCGACATGGCACAAATCAGCCACCATAGTTTATATACATGCCCGAAAATAGACATTGCTTATATTTGTTCTTCTCGATTTTCTTTCAGCATTTATAACTGAAGAACGACAGCCGATGATCCGACTTAGCAATCCGTGTATTCAAGGTTTCGATGTTTGCCGAATATTCTGTGCGACCGGATATCGTACAGGGCCACGCTCGTGCCAGTACTGTGCTTGTAACGGATAAATAAAATCATGCAGCGCATAAATAAAACATAAATTGCATAAATAAAACATGAAATGCATAAATTAAACAATGAGTTAAGAACACGTTGGATTTTAATTAGCACTAATATTTCTTTAAGTTGTTAAGCGGGCTTAGCAACTTAAGGGAATTTTTTACTGAAATGAAAAAAATGTAAAAATCTGATTAAAATATTCCAAATATATTCATTTTTGTTTTTGTTATTTGTTTGTTTCTTTGGGGTTTTTTTGTCGCTGTTTTGTTGTTGTTGTTCTTGTTTTCGATATTTCCGTTGCTGTCCTCTCGTGGCTTTTCATAGATTTGTATATTTGTAAATTCATATTCAGTGTATACGGAATGGCAGTTTGAGAAATTGAATTGGAAGTATCTGCATATACTAATTGCTGGTGGCATTGTCTTAAAAGGAAGCTATTCCTTTAATCACAGTGCATTAAAGAATATTGACCCTAAAAAGAATATGCAATCGGAACCATTCGACTCGATTCGGCTTTCTCCGGCAACTGCGTAAAAAAATATTGGAGTTGCCCGATGTGTTTTTACTAGCCGTCATATTTGAATTTTCAAATATAAAAGCGTCACAGTGCATCACGTGACAAAAATGTACTTATTGACGTAAGTTTTGTTTTCAGTTGACGAAATGTGCTTATTAAGCACACCTGTTTATCATTTATAAGGTGTTATAGAAGGAAGGTGTGAACGTGTTATACCCAGCTTAGCATATCAAATAAACAACATATTATCAAACGGTAGTAAAACAAACAAGACACAGGATCTAATCACGGCACCGCCTTTAATCGTTTCACTTTCAAGTTGTCAGTAAAAAACCTGTAGAGATTCTAACTACATCCCTATGTTTATCCGTGTTATGCAATTCGCTTTCAATTTAAATCCGAACATGCATTTGGACAGAACCACCCTTTGTTGATTAAATGTTACTATAAGCTAAGTTTTAGCCTCCAAACTCTTCAGCTATGCAAATCGAAACTACTCGGCCCTTTCCGTCAAACTTCGGACACAATACATGTAGTAAGAATACACAAAACGGATACGGTTATTTGGTCGAACCTACGCCAATAAACTAAACATGTAAACAAATAGTAATTTGATACTTTTAGTTGTTGACTAAATTGTTTGCAATTTACCGAGAAAAAGTTCAGATAAATTAAGCAAATCTATACTTGTAATAGTAAACCGTGCATTATTTATTTACTTATTATGGTGGTACAAAATATCGCAATGGTTTACATTTATTCGGATTTCTGTAGTATCTTACATCAGTGGGCATCTTTAAATTGATTCTGATTGTCATACACATTTTCAAATCATAATTCTACCGAAATACTTTATTCTCATTTGGATGTTAAATATATACACATAATCGTTAGACATTATCAAAGATTTCCCTCTCTGTTCTGTGTTTGTTACACCACGTGGTAGAACTACTTTCATACGTATTAAGTCCGAGGTTATTATGAATAATGGCAGAGGTGTTCTGATTGTAACTATGCCGCGCTGAAAGGACCCGTGTGCTTGATTTAACGATGATTGTAAAACGTCTACCAGAATCAATCCTTTGCACTCAGGTTCGAAATATAAACGTTTGAACACGGGTACTTCATTCGTTCCACCGAACATAAGCACTAAATTCATCCATGAGCACACAGGCGTTAGAATCTAGAACGCCAACAAATACAGTCATGCGCATGCATGTGCTAAATTAAAACATAGTTACACAGGCGCTTAACTAAACCATCCCGACACAGGTGCTAGTTCACGAACGCGAACACATGTGCTAGAGTTAAATAATGCCCCGGTCACATATTCACGGATAATGCCACGGAAGAGCTACGGTCTAATCGTTCACGGATTACTACGGAAATGTGAAATTCCGTAGTCCGCTACGGTTCCAGTACGGACACACAACGGTATGAGTACGGAGTCCGACGGATTTACAACCAAAAGCCCCCGGAGAGACACGGATTGTTACGGACCGACACGGTTTGATACGGAGCGACACGATTCAGGACGGACGCACTACGGATACACTACGGTCTGCTACGGTATAAGCACGGGTTGGTACGAATAAGTACGGTCTGATACGGAGAAGAACGTATTGATACGGAGAAGAACGAATTGCCACGGATCTATACGGACCTAATACATCCGTCCACAACCTCTTGTTTGCTCATTTTCAAAATGCCTCAAAAGAAAAGAACACGTAGAAAACGAATTGCATCGTTCAATGGATTCAGCCTAATCGCGTCCGAACCCCGAGACACATCAGGTCTAATTAAAGTGAATTTCTTGAAGGACGCTGGATCCTCAACAAGTTCGGCCATGAGAGCCTCATACTAAACATGAAGCGGTCTTCGTAAAAGCCAATCTCTAGTCCACCATCTCGTCTGTCTTCTCTTACCTGATTAGATATGGACTAGTAATCATTAATGAAAAATGTTGATCAATACTGCTTCTCTTTTAATTTTAAGATTTGCTGTTCATCTTACAATTACATTAATGATCGTGATGTTTATGTTTTTTAAAATATGTAAAAAGCTTGTTAATTAATCTTATTATCACTCAAGGGCCACTGTCCGAGGCTTATGAGACACTTCTTTTTATGTACATTTTTACTCCATTTTCACGATCCAATGTTTGTAAAATATGTAACATTAAATGTTATTCTATTTCTTATGAATTGTAGTACGATATTAATATAAATTTACTTCTATGCATGTCATCAAGCAGCTCGACCACTGCCTCCGCATTCTGAGCCATGTCAATATAAAGTTGCAGCCAGTAAATGGCAATTAATATTTATTAAATGTTCCTGCAAATATATATGTCTGTTTTTAACAAGAAGGTAGTATTTATACCCTTGAAAAAGTGCATGATACTTAATTCATCCGTACTAAACAGTGGTGGGCCGTACCATTCCGTACCGTTTCGTGTTGCAACGCAATAAACCGTATAAGACCGTGCTAATCCTTGCCTCTCCGTAGAACAACGTATTACGATCGTGGCTTTCCGTGACAATGCCGTATTAATCCGTATTAAAACCGTAGCTTATACGTAGGGTAACCGTACAAATACGTAGTTCTCCGTACCAAACCGTGGAAATCCTTGACAAGTTGGTGGACTACGAATCAGTACGGACTATTACGGTTTTCGTACGGACCAGTACGTATCAGTACGGATTAATACGGACTAGTAGGGATACGCTACGGTTGATTTTTCCGTAGCAAATTTTTGTGCATGTTCAAAAATTGTCAAGGATCGCTACGGATATACAAGGACTACTACGATTGATTACGGTTACAATACGGAGAGCTACTGACCAGTACGGGTAGCTACGGACGATGCCGGAATTAATCCGTGGCTCTTCCGTGGGCGTATTCCGTGAATATGTGACCGGGGTATAAAAGTTACATAGATGTTAAATTAAAAATGGGAACACGTGTGCTAAATTCAAACACATTTTTATTATTATTATTCAAGTTTCAATGACTTTAATTGTTCAAATTGCCATTATTATAAAGTATTCCATGTCAGATCTTTAGTTACTATTATTCTAATTACATTATATTTTCTAATTTCTGCACGAGCAAAATTGACAGTCACGTGGTCCTATGACGTAGCCATTTAGGCATTTGATACGGCATAATTCTTCATGTTGGATGCAGGGGTTTGGCAGGGTCACTTCAAAGTTTAACGGAATATCGTTCATTGGGTCTGAAATTAATTATTGATTATAACAAAAATTGTTTTTTAACATAAATTTTAAATAATAAAGCTACAATTATTTTGCATCATTATCACGATTATAAAGAATTACAAGAACAAAGAATCAAAGTTATTACATATAACCTTCTACAGATAAATAACTATATTTAGATTATACAAAAATATAATGTAAGCAATACTGACTTTTTTTCAAAAAGATTTAAGTTAGAAAATTGTTAAATATTATGATAATGATGATGATGATAACTAAAAAGAGGGCGATGATAGTGATTATGATGAACGCTGTTGTGATGATGATTAATGATTAATTATGGTAGTGGTTGTGATGATTGTAGATGCTGACGATGATGACAATTTTGATAAAACTAATGATGATAATGATGATGATGATGATGATGATGATAAAAAAATATGATGATGACAACGATAATTATGAAGATGATGATGATGATGATGATGATGATGATGATGATGATGATGATGATGATGATGAAAATTAAAATCTAGGTATACCATCAGATTGGTTTTGGCAGGAACAAAACAGACAGTCGTCTGGGTGACTTATAAATCCGTGATCACATTTCTGGTTACATATAACCTGACAAAAGATACAATTAAAAGCATATTAAAATATAAAATGTACTTATAAATAAACACCGGCACATAAAGATTAATGTTTGATGGCTTTCTATCACAGATATATCTATATTTAGCTCCATATTTGATGGAAAGAGAATTTCTTTAAAAAGAAACTTCGTCGATTGATAAGACAATGTTGATAAGATTTGTTTTGGGGTAATTTCCTGAGTGCTCTATTATAGCTAAAATCAACGAGTGACCTATCCGCCAAAGACCGGGAACAGGATTTTAAATAGTATATTCTACCGGAAGTCAAGGTGGAAACAAACAGCGAACGGCCGAAAACAATGTTTTCAAATTCCATTCACACATTTTAAAATTGGCATTCGCTCCACCCGTCTAACTTAAGTCATGAAAGTGGCGAAAGAGGTGTTTCATTATCCAAAATAGCAGCTGATAGTATTGAATTTAGACGGCATGGCTTGCTTAAGGACCGGTATCCGGTGATCGGTATTTCATTTATGCTGTCTGCTTTGAAAGTTACAGGGAAACAAATTTAATCATTACCTTAGCTAATATGCAAGCTTCAGATGTCGGTGAAAGATCTAGGTATTGTGGTATTGTTGTATTCACACTAAACTTTGAATCTTGAAGAGAATAAAAAATAACGCTGAAGACTTCAATGCTCATAATGTTGATAATGTTTAAACAAGGTCTTTCAAGCAAGGTTTAGTCCAAAACAATCTGAACATAAATGTCCGTTTTTTATATATATGGATTGGTTCGTGTTAGTAAAGTGAACATGTTATAATTCTTAAGTAAACTTAATATGTGCAAGATAAAACGTGAATGTTATTCAAAAACAAACAGTACACTCGCTCTTTTAAGACCACTTAAGACAGGGAAATCTCGCCATAAAGACCACCTTTAGAACTTCGGAGATATGGTGTGAATGTTGAGTTGGTCTTAATTCTAATTTAGTTTATTTGAAAATTCATATCTTTTTTTTCATATGTACATGTATATATAGCATTGCACACCATTACCATGGGTTAGAGAAACCGGTGCGGGGGATACAAGTTTCTATATATGAATGATCCTTGCTATATATAAAAGCATGATATACTATATCACTAAATAAATTTGACTTGTAAGCGCCCCTACCACTCCTTAAAGGTCAAATGTAACTGATGATGGTAGACATCAGGTATCCCTTCCGCACGAACCAGAGTAGAACCACCGAAGTTCTATAAGCTAGCTGGTTAGATACCTCACATAAGAGAATTCGAAGTTTCTGGCGGGACTCGAACTGACAACAGTAAACATATATGTATAAATTATGTATCTTCCATTTACATTTGTATTTTAAAACAATAATAAGGAGTAAACTATTTACTTTGTGGCGAGCTTGTTGTACGGAGTTCTTCCGGAATATTTCTAGCACATAGACAATATTGACAACCTCCTGGTCCTGTTGTATTTGGAAAAGAAAGTGGACATAAATCAGAGATACAGTGAAACCTCTGCATAGCGGCTCTCTGTAGATCAAACTTCTATTTCCAGCAACAGTATTATTTCTTAACAAAGTTAGACATTACAATAAATTAAACTCTAGACCAAAACCTCATAGCATCAATCAAACTCTCCGACTTACTCTTCTAAAAGATTTTGCTCTGCACAGTTTGTTTACTTGTGGCAACAGTAAATTCTATTTTTATACAGCAAATGTTAAAAGATTGAAGTGCAAAAATGATTTGATACAGATATGTTTTTTTATTTTAGGAAAGAATATTGATAGGCATTAATTAATTAATTAATTAATGACGTCAAAACTGATGTCATTTGATAAAATTGCGTAAAGGTTTGATAAACATAGGAATTTAAATAAAGAAATATGCGTTACACTATTTTACCTTTAACATAATTTCCATTACATGGCTTAGTACATCTCTTGTGGGAAGGAATGCACGGATCACTGAAGTCTGTATCTTTTGTTGTAGTAATTGGTATTGTTATTGTTGTTGTTCTAACTGTTGTAGGGTTTAATGTTGGTGCTAATGTTGTTTGTTTAACAGTCGTACGTGTAGCCTTTATAGCTGTTGTTGTTTGTTGTACCACAGGACGTGTGGACGTAATTGTTGATGCCATTGTACTTTTCACTACTTGAGGAAGCGTTGAAATCTGATTGACTGTCGTAGATCGACATCCGCAATATAAACAACCATTGGTTCCCTCTTGATATCCGTCGGCGCATTGCAGACGACAATGACGTACGGCCGGGTTACAGGGGTTACTAAGAAATACACCACCATTGACTGGAGAGTATTGCTGATGCGTATGTTGTACTTAAACAAGAAATAAATAATACAATAAATTATGCATTCATCTCTCTATATATCTCCATTTTTGTGGTCTTACTTAAATACTCTACTAGATAACTAAAGTTACTTTGACTTATTCATACCTTGACCACATAAGGCGAATCTTTAAGGACAACTGATCGAGCCGCCAATATATTTAGTGAGTTATCGAGCTATCAAATCAAAGTAAAGGCGATTTAGGTATGTGAATAAGGAAAGCAATTCTTTGAAATGGTCCTTACATAGGCACGCAAGGAATATTCCAGCCACACGTCCCTCCAACTCCCATTCAAAAACTTTAAAGAAACTGTCACAGTATCGGTAAGAAACACGTAGGAGGTGAACACAATGTTTGTACAAGCATCTATTGGGATACCTTATAAGACCAAAACCTTATTTCTCACTGGCAGTATTTACCAATTACGAATTGGATTGTTTAGAATAACTAAAGCAGCCATTTGTATTGTTCCTGCATGTGCAATGTTAAATAACTTGTTTATTATTCATGTACATCTAAATTATATTGGATATATGCAAAATGTGACTTAATGTTATATTATGGTTTTACTAGTACGGTGGTCAAATTCTTTTAATGCCCTTACTGAAATGTATCGTTAACTGCTTGAAATCATAATGGAGTAGCATGGAAATATTTGGTAGCACTCTCTAAACTGTCTAATATATACAAATAATTATGATAATGGTAGTGGACACTACAGCGTTCAATACGGACGTATATTGGATAGTCACGTGGTAATAAATGAGATGGAATAACTTTGTAAGATTGTGTACCTGTACTAAAGTTTGTTGGTGAAGCTGTTGAGCTATGCGGATTGGTGGTTATACATTGGCACAGAAAACAGCCACTTGGTGACCGCACATAGCCTTGTGGACACATGCGAGGACAAAACAGGTTACACATACTGTTAGTCAGATTCTGGGTAAACAAAAACCTCCGATATTTCATAGACGGTAGAGAATTGTGGTGTGTAGTGTCTGAAAGTAAAAAAATAAACCCATAAACTATATGTGCTGTCATTTTTTTATCTGTTCATTATAAATTTTAAAGCTGCATTTAATAAATTTTAGTCAAACAGAAACAGCATCATTTCGAGATTAAAGGGGATTTTTTATCGATTGGATTTCAGATCACAAAAATATGACTTTTCTAAGACAAAGCATAAATATCTTCAGCCTCGTTGCGATGAAACTCCGCCTCTTGGTCAAATATAGATTATCAAAAATTTAAACAAACATTTAGTATATGCTCAGTAGAGTAATTTAAATTCTATCTGCTTTTATTGGTTTAACCGCAGTTCAACAAGGAATTGTAACGGTAAAAAGATTGTTTTTACACCCGGTATGAATGGGAAAAAAACATTTTCGTGTTTCAGATAACATCTATAATTTTCTGAAAAATTAACAATAAGGCGATCCATTTGCTTGTGCACATGTCTGAACTATTTATAGACTTGATTAGCGTATATAGGTTCGTTTACGAACCATAGTGTTACCATGGGGTTTTTCTTTTAAATCATTATTTCTGAACAATTATTTATCAGGTTTACAACATTAGTGTTCAAAAAGATTAACTTAATTTTAGAATTTATAGGTTTTTTACCGACAACAAAATATTTTTATTCTTTTATTAAATGCAGCTTTAAGGATATCAAGAATAAAATTTAGAATTTGTCGATCAACCCTATAAAAACTGGTCAAACAGCGCGGATGATATCGTAATTTCGATTTTTTTGTCACCATTCTTTCGCGTTTTTGTCTTTGTACTTTCGCATTTTGGTTTTTGTACTTTTGCGTTTTCGTCTCATTTTCGCCTTCGTATTTTGTATTTTTGCATTTTTTGGTCTGCACTTTCGCATTTTTGCGTTTTCGTCTTCGTAATTTCGCGTATTCGTCTTCATACTTAAGCGTTTTCGTCTTTGTACTTTCGCATTTAAGTTTTCATACCTTCAAGTTTTCACCTGTGTACTTTCGCGTTTTTATCTTCGTTTCTTCGCACTTTTGCATTTTAGTTTTCATACTTTTGCGTATTCTTTTGCGTACTTCGTGATTTTGTGGTGTTTATTTATTTATTTATTTATTTATTTATTTATTTATTTATTTATTTATTTATTTATTTATTTATTTATTTATTCATTCATTCATTCATTTCAGTTACTTTATTTATATACGATGGTCCTTATACCGTATGTAAGAAATATATCGTTATATATTTGACAGAATTGGTTCAAAGGTCAACAATAGGAACGTATAATAATTCGTCTGCTTCAGAAAATTATCATAATATTATACCGCAGTTAAATACGAGAAAGATTATAATAAATGGGCCATATATTAAAATGGTAAACAAAGTTGAATTAAATATAGAACGAAATCTCGCCAAAATAGCTTAACCTGGGTGGTGTTGTTTATTTTTTTCATCAACATATTTGTTTCGAGCGGGAAAATGGAATTATAATTTGACAGTTACTTACATCGTCCTTCCTGTATATAAGCCCTTAAAGTGCATACACGTAGACATTGCACGTGCGTATAAACACGTGAGTTTGTTAAGGTAGATTTTTTTACACTTGATTTCTTGCGATTCCCGTAACAGAGCCTATAAACCTCATTGCTATTTTTTTTGTTATAAAACTCGTAGAATTTTAATGAATATCAATCCCGGTGACAAGTTTCGCACTTACATGTACATGTAATTTTTCTTTTGTGCAATTCTAATAACGTTTTTTTAGAATGTCCGATAAAGTAAATAAAAAATAACACTGAAAAAAATGCATAAATTTCTCAAATTTTGTCAGGCTTTGAATTGTGTACATGTATTTCAGTGTTTTCATACTCGCCACCGGGTGCTCATAAGGGCGAGTCCTCCAGAAGAGTATTAGTCATTTTAGATTTTTTAGATTTTTGGAGATTTGGAGTTCCCCCTTTTTCTAAAGCTTTTATTGCCTAATATGCTTATATAACCCGATTCGTGTTATATTGCAAAAAACATATATAACGAATTCATAAGAGAACACAATTTGATAATTTGAGGGGAGTAGGAATTCATGAACAGGAACCGTATCCATAAGTTATATAAAACGGCACGATTATCCAATGAAAAGCAACGTTACAAACGTGCAGTATTATGTACGGGTCAATCTCCACGCAGTGATCTCCCCTTAATTCTTCGACAATCATTTTTAAAGCGATTTAGTCTACTGGTGGCCTTCTATGTCAACAGTACAAAAGGATAAGGATAGCGATGACCTAGTGGTTAAAGTGTCTGTCTTTCAACCCAGGGATCATGGGTTCGAGCCCTAATAGGGTCACAACCATGTTTCTTCATATGACACCGGTACTGGTTGGTTCCAAGAATTTATTGCTGAATTTGTTTGCATTTCATTTCCTGCAAATTCTCCAGTTCGCTGTTTATTACCATAACGCGACTCGAATGACCGTTACGTTTTTTAAAAATCAACAATCGGAATACCCTCGGCTATTGTGGCCGACGAAAAGGCGCCCGAGAAGTTGCATTTACCCTTGCGCAATCCATAAAGGGCGTCGCGCTCGGCGCGGACGCCAGTAAAGACGTATAATAAATAAATATACATGATTATTGATTAGACACTGATTTAACCAAGAAGTTATTATTATAATTCGAAGGAAATATGTTCATCAATACATAATACATTGAAAAAAACAAGAATGAATATTTCAAAAAGTAGTTACTGAAAAGTATATTGGCTGATTTATGCCATGTCGTATGTTCGTGTGTTGTTTTTTTTTTGCCTGGTGCCCGAAGGCGCGAAAGTACGACAAAGTTGTCAAAGTGTCGTGTTTTCGCTTGGCGCCCGGAGCAAAAATACGATATGACACAAATCAGACATCATGGATCCGAAAGATGAGATTTACTTAAACAATTGCAGAATCATTTAAAAACAAAGCTTGCTAATTTATCAAGATTAACTTTATCTAAAGCAGACATCAACTGCTCATTTTGAAAACATTATGGTGTCTCGAGTAAATGTAAGGAATATACATGTATTTATTTTAGTACTGAATTTACAAATATCATGAAATTCGTCACCAAGCTCATTTTTACTACAAAATGTACAGAATTGTTTATTTCTTTCTAAGTCACAGAAAACACCAAACTCTACTGTAGAGAAAATTATGTACAAATCCGTATGCTGAATCTATATTATATGTTTCTATGTAAACAAGAAGGGTTCTGGGGTGTTTTTGTTGGTTTTGTTGTTGTTGTTTTTTTTGTGTTCGTTCGCGAAGAAATATTTGGTGTAGGATCATGTCAATGGAATGGTTACAGAAATGTTTTGAGCGTTTTTGTAGGAAAGAATAATTGATGTAAGAATAAAACGATGTAGGGGATTTTGACCGCTATCAAGGAAACTATATAAGGGGTTTTGACCGAGTTATGGAGAAAACGATGTAGGAGGTCTTGACCGCAATGAAGAAAACCATGTTAAAGGTTTGACCGCTATGAAGAAAACGATGTAAGTGGTTTTGACTGTATGAGGAAAACGATGTACATAGTGGGTTTTTGGCCGGTATGGTAAACCCGATGAAGGGGATTTTGACCGCGCTATAACAAAAAAATACCAATGAAGTTGGTTTTGACCGCTATAAAGAAAATAATGTAGGGTTTTGTCAAGCGGAAGAAAACAATGGAGGATGGCTTGGCTACTTTCGCCAATAAGATGAACAGGGGTTTCCATCCACTCTACAAAAACTCTATAAGAAGGTAAAGCTTCCTGTTACTTATAGTAATTGCCCTTTTCCGTCATTATAAGCCCTAAATCAGGTCATTTTAGGTTAATCAGAGTCTATACTGTTTGATTACAATGTTTAAATTTCTTTCCATAGTTCATAATGGTCAGATTTTAAAAAGTAAGCTTAGCAAGTCCATTTAAGAAATTGAGTATTTTAAAGGTTATGAAAAAATCGAAGCGAGAACCTTGATAATTATTTCTTTACATGAATTATTGTTTTTTCTTGTAAATACCCGAGCGAGTACCTTTAGAATTAGTTCTTTATATGATCTATTATTGTTGTGGTTTTTTTTTCAATTAAATATAGTAAAATACAGAGAAATTAAAATATCTAATCTTAAAGTTATTCAAAATCCACCAACCTAGTGACGAAGTGGTGTAAGGTATGGTTGCTATGGCAGCAATGAAAATCACGGTATACACTCTACACATTTTTTAAAAATGACAATTGCGTGAAGCACCAAATGGAAGTAATATTGCGATATCATTCCGCCGACTTTCATCCCGTCATGAAATTTGTTTCAAACGCATGTCTATAATTGTTTTATCATTCATATAAAGCCAGGTGTTGTAGTTTATTATCATAGAAAATTATTGAGCACAAAGGCTAAAATGTTACTGACGTCACTTGACGGACTACTTTTTTGGCATAAACTAAGCTGTGTTCGAATATATGTGCTGATTCCCAAATATTTAAAAATCGGGAGAGTTTAGTACTGAAATTATCTTCATTTCAACACCACTTGTATTGAAATATCATCAATTTTACTGAATATGTAAAACATCAGAAATAAAATTTAAAAAAAAAATATTTTCAACGGGACTACTTTCTGTTTAACGATAAGCACGGGTCGTTTGGTGTGTAAAAATCAACTGCACTAAATGACAGAATGTAAATTATTCCATTGATAGCGATTAAATTATGCCATGGCAATAGATATCAGCCCAAGATATTCTCACGGCCTTGTATTTATGAATGAATGCCGAACATCTGTCGTTTCTCAACTGTTACTTTCACACTGAATGTTAACTGACATACACAAATGAGCGAACGATCTCATTTTCTCATCTTAAGTGTAGTGTGGTGTGCTGCAGTGTGGAGTGGTGCGATGCAGCGTGGTGTAGTGCGATGAAGTGCAGTGCAGTGTTTTGCAGTGTAGTGTAGTGCAGTGCAATGCAGTGCTTGGTATGTATTGTAGTGTAGTGCGTGTGGTGTGGTGTGGTGTAGTGTGGTGCGGTGCAGTGCATTGTAGTGTAGTGTCTACAGTAGTGTGGTGTAGTGTAGTGTCTACTTTTAGTGTTGTGTAGAGTAGTGTTGTCTACTGTAGTGTCTACTGTAGTGTTGTTAAGTGTAGTGTAGCGTAGTGCCTACTGTAGTGGAGTGTACTGTAGTGTAATGCAGTGTACTGTAGTGTAGTGAACTGTAGTGTTGTGAACTGAAGTGTAGTGAACTGTAGTGTAGTGCAGTGCAGTGCAGTGTAGTGTAGTGTAGTGCAGTGCAGTGTAATGCAGTGCAATGTATTGCAGTGTAATGTAGTGCAATTCAGTGCAGTGCAGTGCTGCGATGAGGTGCAGTGCAGTCTGATGTTATGGGGTTCAGTGCTTTGCGGTATAATGTCATGCGATTCCGTGAGATACCGGTCGTCTGTCGCACACGTCGGTTGGTAACTAGCTAGTAGGTCACCTTTCTTGGAAAAAACAACAAAGCAAGCTTAAATTAGCACCATTTAAACAAGTGACATCAATAAATAAAAGAACTATCTCATTAGTTGTTTAATGATATTTGACATGTTTTATCATTAGTAATAGAGTTTTGACAGGTTATAAAGTCATATATAAATGGTTGTTTATATAGCCATAACTTTTAGGTTATGATACGTTTATATACGGTTATATAACATATCAAGAATCTTTAAAATAAATATGAGGAAGCCATTCAGCTAGCTTACGGAACGTCGGTGGTTCTACTTAAGTTCCCGTATGGGCACCCAGGTCTTCCCCCACCAGTAAAACTGGAAAATCGCTATATGACTGTACTGTGTTGGTGTGACGTCGTTTTAATGTGTAAAAATTAATTAGGACTTTGCATGTTTCAAAAACTTATGAGGAGAAATAAAATTCATACTTGTTCTTTGTATAAAAACTTAACCGAAACAAGAAGGTGTAAAGTTCAAATTAGGTTTTTTTATTTTATATTCAACCTTTTGAAGCTCCTCCTAATTAAGATTTTATTTCTCAACTCATAATTACACTTTTATTTCTCCTAATTAGAATTCTCGAACTTCTTTTTAAGTGTTGCAAAGGGTCAATTCTCCTAAATATGAGTAAAAAATCTGGAAACAAAATGATCCCTCGGAAGCATTAATCACAACAAAATAACATAAGAATGGCAGACTCGGTTTGGTTGAGTCTGTACATGAGGGATAATGAATAGGTGCAACATCCCTCACGCCCCTTAGCACCGGCTTGAGCGGCACTCAATTCTCAACATTTAATAGTGCTGGTATCAATGATCCCGAAGGAAAAAATATATCAACCCTGAAACATTTTCAACAGAAAGGTCCCCAAACTATGATACAAAGGGTTCTTATTGCAAGTGAACCGTAGATAATAGCCTAAGGGAATGCAGTGAAATGCACTTAACCCAAGGTGATGGGCCTTTAAGAAGGTTCATATTGCAAGGTTACCCACGCTGATAGTTTTAAGGAATGCAGTAAAGCTCATAATTATAACCTACGGTGATCGGCCTTGTAGAGCGTTCTCATTGCAAGTTGACCAATGGTGATAGCTTCAAGGAAAGCAGTCAAGCTCAAATAACCCACGGTGATAGGACATTTTAAGGGTCCTTATCGCAAGTGAACCCTTGAAGCCCCAGGGGGTGCAGTAAAAAAACTGGAACAAAAGGGTCCCTCGGGAAACATAAAAACAACAAAATTCTAAAAATTCGACTGGGTTTATTGATCTGTAAATGGGGAAATAAAAAGTGCAAATCCTCACCCCCCTGCACCCCGGGTTGATAGTATCAAATTTAAAACTTTAAAAATTTCTGGTATGAATGACCCGAAGGGCCCGAAAAAAATAACAAAACTAATAAGTACGGGGGAAATTTTTACAGTGACACAGCCCCTTACACCTCTGTTTTGAAGTATGAAAAATCGAAAACAAAAATTTTTTTATTTTAATGGTAGAAAAAAAATTGTAAAAAAGGGTTTTTTATTCTCTTTTTTATCCTAATTTTTCTTTTTTAAAACTCTTAATTAAAATGAAAAAGTCCCTTTTAAGGTTTTTAAACTTTTAAAATGTGAGTTAAAAAGTTGTTTTTAAAAAAACCCATTAAGATTGATTATTACCCCAGACGGTTCCGTACACGTGCCCCAAAAAAAACATCTTATAAGAAATTTTCAACCATGCGACCACTTACATGTATCGACAACATACTATAAGGAAAATGACCGTGCGACCACATACACACATCACAGGATTCCCCTGGAATTTTAAAAAGATCGTTTATAATTTCTTGGAAAATTTTGAGTTTCATTTTTTTTCTCTTTTTCTTTCTCTGTATATAACATAAATATTGTAATTTTGCAAAGCATGAACGTTTCAAAAACGTTTTAAATGCATTGATATTGGAGATATATTTCACACTTTGATGTCAAATATTTAGCTGGGGGCATTTTTGCAAAAGTATGCATTTACTATCTATATTCGACTTATTATTATTTATAAATACTTGAATACCTAAATGAATAATTTCTCAAAAAAAGTAGCGAAATACTAAATACTAAAGGCGTACATTAAAAGGCGTTACTCTATTTACAATTTAAGTACATTGTAGTCTAAGTTTATGCACAAACAATGACATTGTATGACGTTTCTTTTTAAATAAAAATATTTGTAAATCAGCAATATTTCTTTTCTTTAAAGATCCTGTATGTTTTGTGATTGATATTGTTTCTGTGTGTATACCACACGTGTGGACTGCAAGAAGAAAATAGATTAAACTTGAGCAGCCGACAATTTTGACACTGTCAAGACGAAAAATATTTGCAGGCTTATCTTAACCTGAAAATCATTCTGGGAATATCAAGAGAGAGGTTTCTAAAGTTAGTCAGCCATAAGTAAAGAACCTGGGCCAGTTGGCACGGATGTGCAGCCTGGCATACATGTATGCTGGTAAAATCAGTTCGGTTCCAGTGGTGTTAGGTAGGACTACCGATCATCTGTAAGGATAATGCCTTGTTGGTGTACATGTATACAGTGAGTGATAAATATCATATCTTACTTCCAGTATCCGGTTTTCATCAAAGAGAATAAAATCATAAAAACGCTTTAATTTGATCTAAGCTTTGGTGGAAAAATAATCTTCTATAGGCAAGATTTTAAAGTTTGATTTGATGTTAAGATAATGTCATAAATTATATACATGTATTATGCTTAAATCATCGATGTGTCATGAAACAAAAGAATATAATATATCGCCCCCGTCAAAATTCATCGCCAGGAAATTTTACTATACGTTACCCTTAGGCGCCATGTTTTGTTTATGATTTTATATTTTACCAGCTACTCAGTATATATATGATGTAATGTTTTCTGAATTGTTTTAAAACGTTATGTGATTCAAACACGTTACATCAAACGTCTATGTTCAGTTGTAACGTTGTAACGTTGTAAACGTGGGACGACGTTTTTTACGTAACGCATGTGTGTAGCTTTAGTTCATACATTTAGATGTGTATTGCTTTTTTGCGGATTTACTTGCAATAAAAATGGTAAGTTTTTACATTTTTAAGAATAAATCTTCGTTTCGTTTAGGTTTCATTTATAAAAAAATATGATAAAAGCGTATACTAGTAGTACATTTTGAATGATCACATCTGCCTCAGACACTTATATACTTTTTTCCTTCTTTTTAAAAGACACGCATGGGTTTTATAACGTTTATTGTTAGTTTTAGAGCATGTTGAATTAAGCCAATGTAATTGGCCAATGAGTATCGTTTTGGAAGTTAGAACATGACTTCAAATGTTAAAAGCCTTTGATAAATGGAAATAAAAACATGTTCGAAGCATAATGGGCCTTTAAACAGGCCCTTGCTTGAGAGTTTGCCACTCACGGGTACATTTAAAGAACATTCAGGGTCGTTTTTTATTTTAAATCATATCAATTAATGCAATAAACGTGTTATTAAATGTTTCATATTCTCTAAATTTCAAAGAATGAAATACGCCGCGTTAAATATGGATCGTTAAAGCAGCATGCCCCCAGAATAATGCTAATGTTCATGAACAATTAGTAAAAGTATTAAAAAAATATTGTAAAGCTAACAAAGACAGTAATTTAAAACATTGCAAACGGCAATTACAATCTACATAAATATAACAAAAAGAGGTCATAATTTGCAAAACATAAACCTTACTGCGTTAGTCACGCAATAGAAATATGATAATAAATACTGCAATTAATATAAGTCAATAATCGCACATTCTATGTTAATTATTACTTGAATCTTGAATCCTTTTCCTTTTCTTCAAATCATAACACTTTTTTTTCTCAAGTTTGATTTTCCTGAAATATTTTGGCTCCATCTTGAGGCATGACGCTTTAATGTTGTTTTTATGTACGTATACTTTCCGAAGTGTGTATATTATTAACAAAAAAGGAAGTGTACAGACAAAATGCAAACTTATCATTTTAATACAAATTTTGATCTACATCCTTTTTTTTTTCAACACAACCGACGAGACTGCCTTTTCTGTGGTTTCTAAAAACTTCCTTTGATGTTATAAATGATTCGACAAGCGAAATGTTGTATAAACTCCCGAAGTACATTTGTTAATTTTATGGGGTTATAATAATAATAATAATAATAATAATAATAATAATAATAATAATAATAATAACAATAATAATAATAATAATAATAATAATAATAATAATAACAATAATAATAAAAATAATAATAATAATAAAAATAATAATAATAATAACAATAATAATAACAATAATAATAATAATAATAATAATAATAATAATAATAATAATAATAATAAAAATAATAATAAGTATCATCATCATCATTATCATCATCATCATCATCATCATCATCATCAACTAAATTATTATAATTATCATTATTATTATTATCGTCGTCATCATCATCATCATCATCATTATCATCACCACCATCATCATCATTTTCATCATTATCATCATCTAAATTATAATTATTATTATTATTATTATTATCGTCATCATCATTATCATCATGAATATTATTGAATCATAACTTATTATAAAATATTGCCTAAGAATGATGAATAGTTTTGTCCAGCATGAATGATGGACATGTCCATTTAAGAAAATAAGCATGGTTAAGTTGTTTTTTGTTTCTTGTTTTTTTTTTCTTTCTTTAATATCTTATCAATAAAAGCAAATGATAAGATACAGAAATCGTAAGATTTTAAAGTTATAGGTTGATCGTTAGCCTTACTATGTCTGCAAACATTGTTTTTGACGTTTGAATTGATTTTTAATGAGCGATGTAATATAGTTTAGGGCAAAAAAGCATAAATCATTTATTTCTGATCTCCCGACGGTTTTGATGTTCAATTGATATCAATTTTATATAAGATTTACTTTTGAAACATTTGTTTTTACATCATTTATAGCAGTAAAAATGATGTGCATAATGTAATTAATTATTCATTTGCCCACAGACAAATGGATAGTTTAAAGGTATTGTATCATTAGTAAGTAATACTAACTATTCTTAAAGTTTGAATGATCGCAAATTTGCATATTTATCCAGTGAGTCGATAGGTATGTAATATGAGTTAATAAGCGTTCATGGATATGTAAAGGTATACTTATGTAAAAAATGTTATTTCGTATGTGAAAGTATGCTGTTTATTTTCTGCAAGTGGAAAATAAAAACAACTTGTGATAAAATGTGTTTCTTACCTAAGGATTTCGGACAATAACTATTTTTAATTTATTTATTTATTCAATTGTTTATTTGTTTGTTCATTCATTCATTCGTTCGTTCGTTCGTTCGATCGTTCGTTCGTTCGTTCGATCGCTCGTTCATTCATTCATTCATTCATTCATTCATTCATTCATTCATTCATTCATTCATTCATTCTTTTATTTATTTATTTATTTATTTATTTATTTATTTATTTATTTATTTATTTATTTATTTATTTATTTATTTATTTATTTATTTATTTATCTATTTTATTATCTGTTGTTGTTTTTTCATTCTTCAGAATAAATGATGTTCCTTTGAAAATAAGTGAAAATTTATGGGAACGTGAGAGAAAAGGTACCACAAGTGAAGGCATACAGCAAGTGACAAAAGAAATTGCAACCCAAACATTCTTATTTTTTGTACCAAGACGCATTTAAAATGGTGGCTTTAGCAAAAAGCATAACAGGTAAGAATATAATAATATATTGATATTGTTTTCACGTTAAAGGGACTTGACTGATGTATTTTGACATGAATGGGACTAGAAATTATTGTTCGAGATTCATGTTCCATTTAATTTAGGTTCATCAAAAAACTGGCCTGTATTTTATTAGATCATTCGCTCACTTTTCTTCCCGGACAATTATTCTAATTGTACAAAAGGTGAAAAGCGTTGCAACGTTTTTCACTGAAATCGGGATAAGACAGGAAAAAAATACGATTCTCAATTTATTTTTGGGTATAATTTTTATTAATTGTTGAATACTACTCTGTTTTAAATGCACCAGATTATCTATGTTAGAAATTCAAATTTTATGTCTTTAGGAATTTGGACCTCAGTAGAGTTCCTTTAAAGAATTATTCGCTTAATTAGGGACGGCGGAATGGTACTCCGAAAGTGTCGGTCAGGTTGCAAATATTTCTCACATCTTTTGTAACATTGTACTTCTTATATTATTTACATTTTTATGCTCCCCGAAAAATTTCGCGGGAGCAGATAGTCTCCGGGTTGTCCGTCCGTCCGTCAGTCCTTCCGTACGTACGTCCCGAATTCGTGTCCGGCCCATAACTTCATTATAGTCGGATTTTACAACTATTTCACAGAAATGATAATCATATTGAAACGACGTGTCGAGCGCAACATTTGGGTCGCTACCTTGAAGGTCAAGGTTACAGCATGACCTTGCATCAAAATCGTGTCCGGTCCATAGCTTTGTTATTTGAAGTCGGATTTTACAACTATTTTACAGAAATGATCACTATACTGAGACGATGTGTCGAGCGTAACATTTGGGTCGCTACCTTGAAGGTCAATGTCAGAACATGACGACATATCGCGCATGGTTCTTTTTACACTTTGAACTTTGTCTGTGACATAAATCTGACACTACAAAAGGTATACCTTCCTATGTCCAAAACCTATTCGGGGAGCATCACCCGGTTCAACCGGCTCTTGTTCGTGGCTGATTTTGGCCATGTCGTATTTTGCCCAGATGAGAACACGAAAATACCTTATGCTGACGACTTTGTCGAACTATCGCTCCGCAGGGCGCAGGGTGAAAACACACAAATACGACAAAGTTGTTTCGCCTTTAGATAAGAGGAGCGAAAACACGACAAAGTCGTCAGCATGACGTATTTTCGTGTTTTCACCTGGCGCACCGCGGAGCGAAATTACGACTTGGCAAAATTTTAATTAGTTGTACCTAGTCAATTTAGTTATTTGTTTACTTATTTAGTTATTATAAAAGTTTAACCTGTATCAGAATTTCTTACTACATTAGTTGTATTTCTTTAATATGTAATTTTTTTATTGTCCATTTTAGAATGCCCGGATATAGAGAGTATCTGGCACGTGGAGGGTTCAAACACCAGCGTTAGTGTTACGACTGATAAATTTCTGCTGAGTCACAGTGACGTCGGACCTTATATTCACATCATTTGTCCGGAAGGTTCGCACGTGGTTGGACCAAGTATGATCACGTGTCTAGAGGGCGGAGTCTGGGATGATATGACAGAACCATCATGTTCTAGTAAGATTTGCTTTATATCAAATTGATAATTCATCATTTGAGCCGCGTCACGACAAAACCAACATACTGGGTTTACGACCAGCATGGATCCAGACCAGCCTGCGCATCCGCGCAGTCTGATCAGGATCCACGCTGTTCGCTTACCAACTCTATCACAAGTGGAGAAACTGACAGCGAACAGCATGGATCCTGATCAGACTGGGCTGATGCGCAGGCTAGTCTGGATCCATGCTGGTCGCAAACGCACTATGTTGGTTTTGTCATGACGCGGCTCATTTTAATTTAATGTAATAAATTACCGAAGTCCCTATTTAATCTGTCCATTTTGTCCTTTATATTTATGCTTTATCTATAAATAAAAAAAGCGGATGATATGACAAACTTTGAAATATTACACCTTCCAAAATAGATATGACATACGGAAAATGTCGAAGTTTGCCGACTTTACACGATCTGATTATGGATTAAGGAGTATTTCTCTGATAAAATCGACGAATTTGTCCGAATAAACATGTTTATATATCAATACTTTACAATGTATATAAAATAGTAGAATATCACCATGCGGCTTTAAAACCCAATTCGTTATGAAAGATTAAGTAATTCTATCGCCTTGTTTATTTTATTTATTTATTTGTTCGTTCGTTCGTTCATTCATGCATTTATTCATTCATTCATTTATTTATTCATTTATTTATTCATTTATTTATCTATTTATTTATTTATTATCATATCTAGCTTCGAGTCTTTACGGTATTGCTCAGTCTGATGTTGTGCTGATAGGCGTTCTGGCTGGGTGCGGAGCTATTATTATCCTCGCACTAACTATCATACTGGCGCACCTGCTGTGCTTTAAGAAGAAGGATATACAAGATACAAGGTAAATGGGGCTATTTCAAACCATTTTGCTGCGAGAACCTTAAATATAAAATTACAGATATATGCAAAATATACGTATACAGGACTATGTTAAGCAACCTTCAAACCAGAAATTATATTTTTTAGAAATATCAGAAATAACAGTAAATCATATATATCATTTTGTATTCCATTAATTAGCAAACTCGTCATTTTGGCAAAGGGTTAATTACAATTACACACTGTAGCGATGGCTTAGAAACATTTCTCTCATTTTCGGATAACTCGAATACATTGTTACCTCGAACATTTAACTTATTCTCACGTGACAACGAGGGAAACACTCATTTCATTTTCCCATGCATGAAATCTCGGACATGCGGTTACTTAAAACGTATTATGTCCAGTTTTACTTGCAAAGAATATATTACAGTATCCTTAAATAGATGTAAGAAGGGAGACCACTCACTTTTCTCTCTTAACCTCTCGTGCAGCATTCTTTAATCATACAATATAGCTATATAGCTATTATCAAGTTTTGGCGCTTTATGTAAATCATGCGAAACAAGTACCGCATCTTGTGTCAAAGATTTCCTTCACCAGAAGATGATTATTGGGTCTAGTATTTATATTTCAATTTCATTTGTGTGGTGTTTTTTTTTGTTTTGTTTTTTCAGTAAAGTTAGTTAAGTGCTTAAATAACAAATTGTTTCCGTTTCTAGGTCAACAGACAGACTCGACAGAAATTCGGACAGTCCACAATCATCGTCTATGTACTTGGACGACAAACATTTCCACACCATATCTACTCCATTAAGTGCTACACTAAACGGGCGCCCCCTGACACATGTTTCCCGTGGCAACCCTAACTACGGACATCACGGGACACAAAATTATGACACTAGATCTTTGTCAAGCTCGATTATAATGTCCTATAATTCGGGCGATCATGAATATTCATTGCCAAGATACTACTTACAACATCCGGGGCATTTAGAAAATCAGTCTAATTTCAACGATCACGTGTACACTGACCCGACATTGCCCGCGCATGCGCAGCAGATGACGGCTACACCGATTGAAGATGACAACGTGTTTATAAATGAGGCCTTTGCAGAAGAATTCCCATCAAGAGATTACAGAGCAAATTGGGAAAACAGGTAAGATAATAAAATGATAAAATGTGCTTGCAAAAAAATAATTATCTACCGTATATTCCTTGTTTGGCTCGACGTGTGCTACAATTCATGCCCGTTACACAAGGAGGTGGGATCTGGACTAGGGGGCTCACAAACCCCTACCCTGATAATTCTAACAGTAATAGTGATAAAATGTTTTTAAAATAATTTTCTGCAAAAAAATAGGAACTTGTGGCCTGAAAATGCACAAGAAGCCGCCATTAAATATGTGAATTCCACTTTAATATGGGTGAGGTCCAAGACCGCAATCCCGTGGGATTAAGCAAATCTATTTATTTAAAATTGAAGAATATTTTTCGGTCAAATACTTATATTCTAATATTTCGTCATCTACAATTATGTATATACAAATATATCTAAAATAGGGATTGTTACATCAATTTCGTTCAGTATACAGACGGAGTATCCGTACAAAATCTACGGAAACCTTTTTTTTTTTTACTTTCAAAACCAGAAAAGTTCCTATGAATATAATCTTTAAAACTAATGTAAATAATATAAATGGCATAATTTAATTTATATTTATTTTCTTTTTCTTCATTTCAGTATTAATGCGCAACAGGCAAGATCAAATACCGCACTTTCCTTACCACCTCCACCAGTATTTGTGTACGACAACCGGACTACTTTTTGAGTATGCGCATGCGCAAACAAAAGTAGGTCAAATTCAAAGTCAGTGAGACGATGTGGACTGTAAATTTTGCTTTTGGAATATGCGTCATCACTTGCAGATTAATAACTAAGATTTTGAAATTCGGTTTATGATTTGGCTCGAATGACCCAAAAGACCCAAATCTAGGACTGTTCAAAGATAAGTGATTGTGACTAGTTTTTGGCGTAAATGAATTTACTCCAAATGTCTTCAATGCTTGGACACAAGAGAGTAACAAGTTGCAATCTTTACTTGCTGTTCATAATTTACATGTATGAATATGACTACTACCTGAAGCATGTTTTATATCCATGCATCCTACCGGATAAACGGTATACTAGTATTTATTGTCTTCTTCCAGGAACATTGCTTATTTCTGTGTCTTACACATGATGGGAAATGTCTTATTTCTGTGTTTTAAACATTTTTTGAACATTTTTTGTGTGTGTTTTCTTAGTTCCTTTCGTTAATGTGTTGTTTCCGTGCAAACTACATGTAAATGTGTCTCATATACATGCATACCACATTTAAATGACAACAACTACACATAAGTGTGGCATAATTCAATGCAAACTACATGAAAAAGCAGATTAATTCATACAAATTACATGTTCATGAGACTTGTTTCATGCAAAGTACACGTAATTACAGATTCATTCATGCAAAAGTAATGTAAATGAGGCTTGTTTTATGCAAATTACATGTAAATAAAGATTAAATCTTGCAAAGCACATGTAAATGGGGCTTGTTTCGTGCAAATTACATGTAAATGTAGCTTATTTACATACAAACTACATTTAAATGTGGCTTCTGCTACATTAACATAAAGCCTTTTTAAATTCGTGTGTCTATTGTCTGTAAAATGCATAATAGTATTTATTATATTTCTATGCTTGTTCATAAGAATGTATTGTGCCTTTTGTCTAAATCAGATTGCTCTTATCCAGAGGCCTCCTATCCAGTCATTTATTTGTTTATAACTTGGTCCAAATACGGAGCTTTTTGACGTAGTGACTATTGCTTAATTCTTCAAAAGGAGTGCAGAAATTTCGAAATCTGGGATTTAAGATAACGTTACGTCATATAAATCGTCCGTGTATTGAATTTGCTGCCTAAACTTTACTTAATAATCAGAAAATAAAAAAGTAAACGGACGCCGGTAAACAAAGGGTACGTTAGCTAAGGTTAACTGTAAGGTCGTCTGTTTGACAATCATGCCCAGAAACGAAATTTAGATATTGACATTTGGTTGCATATTTACTATGTTTTTTGTTGGCAGGATTAAAACACGGCGCATTGAAAGAATTGGCAATAAAATTTATGATCAGTATTCCATTTGTTTCCTTTATTTCTTACCTGTCTGGTTCATTGGTATGAAAAATGTTTTTACCAACCGGGTTGACTGTTTCGGCCATATATTGCACAATTCTGTGTAACAGTTCCACAATTCGGCGTTAGCATAACATTCCTGTGTTCTACATATATTGGTGATAATGCATAATTATTGCATATGTATTTTATTTTGTTATTAAACCTCAAAATATGTTAAAATGGTTGCCTGGCGACAAGCTCAGGTTTAAGTCGCTACATTGCAAAATCAAAGTACTGAAGTACAGATGGACTGACTATATGAAATCACCATATTATGTAACTTTTGTCTTATTTTCAAAAACCAATGCTACCAGTCTGGTTGTTATGTACAATTAATACAGTCTACAATGCTATATGAGACTTAAAGTGATTGTGGAAAAATATTGTTTGTTTGTTTGTTTGTTTGTTTCATTTTACGCCTTTTCCCAACAGTATTTCAGTCATATAGGCGGGAAGTTTCCTAACCATCGTTCCTGGAGAGGAAAAATATTGTAACGTTGGCATAAGTATGATTATATAAAGCAGCACGCCTCCAGATAAAATCGCCAGCCCAAAAATACTACATACCATACACGTACGATTGTATTGACCTTAAAATGGTGGATTGGTAAATGCAGAGATAGAAGAGAAGACGGAGATAATTATATACCAGTTTATTGCTAACAATATGTTATTAAATGATTAATCATACACAATAACAATAAATTTGTTCTTTTATCTCCCTTTTATCAAACACTCATCTCAGCCAATCAAAACAGCCGCCCCTGAAAAAGAAATATTCAATTCTAAATTTAAATTTCATTTCCCTAAACAGATTGGCGTGCAAAAACAGTTGAAACATTATACAGACCGATCGTAAGTTTCCGGACCTTTCCGTCAAACTTCGGATATGGATCAGAGTTTGGGAAAATCGGCGAAGTATTCCGAATGTAAACTAATATTTTTACTACTTACAAACTTGGTATTTTGTAATTTTCTTACAAAAAGATTAATTAGACTGTAATAATTATGAAACAAGTACAATGTATTCTACGATGTTAAACAAATCATTCTCTATCCGGCAATAGATATTGTTCTTACACAATTCTGGGTATAAAACTGGCAATGCACAAGTGCAACATTCCACATGTAAATAATGCACGTGTATATAACGATCGCCATTATCAAAACTACTTAAAAAGAACAATATGCACTGCAAACGAATAATATTTGCCTTCTTTAGAAAGTACAAACATTGAGTTTTATAACATTGAATTAATGGTTTTAGAGTACAACGTATGTTAGAAGAAAGTAGCTTGAATGTGAAATTATTTGTAATAAAAGTACAATTTGTAAAATTATATTTTGACTTCCATACAAAATACAAAACTATTAACACACATCAGGGTCTATCAAATAGAATTTATTTCGAAAACCCTGCACACATTCACTAATAAAAGTAAGTATACCTTTGCAATCACACATCGTACATTTACTCCCGTCTGCTTTCACCGATTTTGTTTCTGTACATTTCATTGGACAAACGCCATCACGTGACAAAAAGCATGGATCACTGATTTTGTGATACCGGATGTTGTTTACTTCAATAACATCCGGCGGAAGTGTCGTAGTTTGACCAGCTGACACGGTAGAAGCCAATGGGTCTTGTGTCGTCTGCCACCTAACTAGAATAGAGAAAAAATCAAACTTTTTCCAATATTTTTTTCAAAGTTCCAAAAATACAGAATAAGTGTTCCCAAATTTATGATTGGGGCCTTTTCTAAAAATTGCTAGAAAAGGCCCTGGCAACCTCCGCAGAATAGCCTCTCTGTACAGCTCACATCTCGTCAAAAGATTCGTATGGGTTCAAGGTCATTCAGGTAAATTATATACCAAAACAGTATCGGGTCGGATTTAAGCATGTTAGAACATACACAGTGGATAAAAAATATCATTGTATCCGGTCTTGCGATTACAAGCACTTGTTACTTCTGACTTCTATAGAGCTTATATAATTAAATTTAAACCGTTCTTACTACTCTGTTCCCTTTTGGGAGTATAAAAAATAAATAAATACGGTTTTAAAGGATTAGATAAAATTTTAGGGGACATTGAATATCTCCCCTTTTTTCCCCGGCGGTTATAGTAAATGACTGGTATTTCTCCCCGTTTCAGGAAGAAACTGTGGGGGATTTTAATTGTATCCAAAACACATTAGAGTTTCTTTCTGGCTATTACTTGCATCATTTGTTTTAAGTAAAAGTTATGGATTATTTAAAATGTTATGTTATGTTTTTCCTTAATACACTCTTAGGGTTATATAATTTTAAAGTATTCACTCTTTGCCAGCTAAAACTGTATAAAGGATTTGCCCTGCTTTTCAAATTTGCAGAATTTTAAAATTACAATTTAAAATTGAGCTACAAACAATACAGAGCTTCAGTTAAAGGGCAAAGATGTGGCGACTTGCCTGCCTTTACATGTATATACCGGTAGTAAACCGATAACTTGGATTTATTAGTAGTTAAAGGGACACCACTGAGGTTTTTTTTGACATGATGGGACTGAAAATATTTTTTCCAGATAAACGTACCATTTGATGTAGGTTTATACCACTAATCTTTGTGCAAAATTTCAGATCATTCGCCCTATTCGTTTTTCCAGAATAATTATTCAAATTGTAAAAAAATGCCCATAATGAAAAGCGTTTAAATGCTTTTCACTCAAATCGGGCTAAGAAAGCATAAAAATACGATTTTCAATTTATTTCAAAGCATTTTCTGATCTATCATTGCATATATTTCTGTTTAAAGTGCCCCAACTCATTTTTGTAAGAAATTCATTTTTTGTTTTTGTTTTTAGGCTTTCAAATCTCAATGGAGCCCCTTTAAATTGCCATTGCATAAAACTCTGCTTCTCCAGGCGGACTCATACTAAGGTGTATATTTTTCTCACCCATGCCCCAGTCAAAGATGCAGCAAAGACACGCTAAAAGTTTCTGTAAATTATTAATATATTTGTGGTTCTTAGGCCAAACACAGTCAAACTGTGATTAAAGGTCATTGAAAGGAGATACAGAGAGACATGGGATTTTAATTAAAGGGTTTGTCAAGGGTTTTTTAAAGGGTATCTTTATTCGGGGTGTGGTCTTTTTAAAACATGATTTATTTTTAACAATATCAGTCATTCAGTTAGCTGTTGGTGACGCCAGTAGCTGAGTGGTTAAGGTAGTTAACTTCAAACCACTTGCCCCTCACAGCTGTAGGTTCGTATCCCGTATGGGACTTTGGATAATTTCATGTGAGGAAACTATCCGGCCAGCTAACGGAACGTCAATTGTTCTACTTGGTACCTTCTCGTGCCTAAAATAATGCACGAAGGGGCATATCAATTCTTTCTTCACCAGTGCCTTAAGGCTTGAAAGTCGCCATATTATATGTACGGATGCGAAGTAAAACCCGACCAATAAAAAAAACAAAAAAGCAATCGTCTAATATCTAAATTACTGTTTGCCACATGTAGAGAAATTATATTTACTGGTAAATTATCAAGGTACCGGTTAGTCGGTTAGGTGGACCGACAATAATTTGTTAAAATAGGTGAAAAAATCCAAACAATAGAAGAAACATACAATTTTCTTTAACCATTAATCTTAAAAATATGAGCCGCGTCATGACAAAACCAACATAATGGGTATGCGACCAGCATGGATCCAAACCAGCCTGCGCATCCGCGCAGTCTGATCAGGATCCATGCCGTTCGCTAACCAGCCTATGACAAGTAGAGAAGCTGATAGCGAACAGCATGGATCCTGATCAGACTGCGCGGATGCGCAGGATGGTCTGGATCCATGCTGGTGGCAAACCCATTATGTTGATTTTGTCGTGACACGGCTCAAATAATTGAGACAGATACTTACCATAATCGGTCTTGTTCTTGCACACACAAAAATCACACTTTATATCTCCCTTCAGCTGGAGTATCGAACATTTAACCGAGCAAAACTGGTCTTCTAGACGGCACGGGTTCGCTGGTGCTACATAGTCTACTGGGTGTAGTGCACGAATTAATGATACTGAAATAAAGTGTATTTGTCAACTTTTTAATTGATAATTTATTTATCTATTTATTTATTCATTCATTTATTTATTCATTCATTCATTCATTCATTCATTCATTCATTCATTCATTCATTTATTCATTCATTCATTCATTCATTTATTCATTCATTCATTCATTCATTCATTCATTCATTCATTCATTCATTCATTCATTCATTCATTCATTTATTTATTTATTTATTTATTTATTTATTTATTTATTTATTTATTTATTTATTTATTTATTTTATAATTAATTACTTAAAACATAAAAACGTCTCTCAAATAAAAAAATATCACCCTAAATAAAAGTTTAGTATTTTTTAAACTTTGCATAATGACAAAAGAGTATATGATTTTGAGACATCTGCTTGTGAAAGTGACCTAAAAGTGTTAAAATTATTCCAAAGGCAGATAACTAAAACAAAAGAATAGCGACACCCATTTTGTATTTATTAATTACTTCCGGTTCTTCATTAAGTATGGCTTTTTGTAAAGAAACATAGCTGTTACCAAAAAAAAATTAAAAAAAAAATTTAAAAAAATCCATAAAGTTGATATTTTCACCATTGATTGGTTTAGACAGTATTTATTTTCCATATAGTTAAACATATACAAAATTTACAATTATATAGGGGTGGCACGGTTAGTAAAAATACCACCCTTTTAAACAGCGATCTTATAACCGTTTAACTGATCCTTAGATTTTCAATTTCAACTTTGCTTCTTTATAACAAGATGTGACATTTTGTTTTTACATTTATATTAATGTACTCAAAATGATTACAATACATATCCGAATATGTTGTAACTTTTTTCCGTAAAGACCGTACCGTACTCGATCAAATCTGACATTGTTGAGTACAATTAAAATTCAAACAAATTGTCATATCTTGTTATAAAAAGCTAAGGTAGTATTTCAAATCAATTAAAAATATTTCGACTCTTTGACAAAATTAATACTAACCTCGGTGACCTTTTATTCAATTTTAGCTAAAAACCGACCGTACACGTTTAAACGGATAAACGTAACACCCCTAATATTATGTACATTAACATGGTATACCACGTATAGGATTTTAAAAAGAAAGTCAAAGACTTTTGTAAAATTTCATTTTTCTCACCATTGATTAAGAATACACACAATAAAGCTGTTAAGTCCAAAAGATCATGGTTCATATTGAAAACAAAATGTTATTCACTAAAAGTCCATTCAAATGTCCCTAATGTATTTATATAATGTATATTTTTTCATTAAACTAGAAAATTTCGTCATGTAATCCATTTAGGTACATATAAACTTAACAATTGTCCAGATTTTAATTTTGTACATAAAATTAATATAAAGTAAAGAGATCGGCCTGCTTTTTCTCCATGGGTCAAAGACCAAAATCTTATCAATCTTATCTCTTTATAGTATTCGTTGCCGTTATCATAAACGTGAGTTATCATAGCTCGTATATACTCGGTAATCTTCGTCACATTCCGTAACGTATGTTTTTATTTGTACTACCTTCCAAATGGCAGCATAGGAGGGATCTGGCCAGAGAGTAACCTTTTTAGAATAAAAAAATAGAGTTAAAATAATGTTGTTTTTTTTCTGCCGCATAATGGGCCTTTAAAATGAGAACAGACGAACTAACAGGAGACAACATTTAACTTAGATCACCATATTTAAAAAAAAAAACGAAAGTTTTTTAAGGTAACATACGGGAAATAAGGAAGAAAGGTTAATCCTTACGAGGGACTGAAACTAACTTCAGGGGAATTAATACTTGCATTCTCCTAAAAAGAGTTGTCGTTCGTACTTCGCTGAAACATCTGTTCTAATAAGAACTATTTTATTATAATAAAAGTCTTATACGTCTTTGTCGGACATTAAATGTAATAGCATTATTGTATAAAAGTCGAGAATTTAAGACGAAACCAATCTGATTAAAATCAGCTCTAAATAACACTCCGCTTTTAGATCTGACCGTGACCAAATACGAAATCATTGCTGGTGACCCATCACACAGCAAATGTTCGGGTTTCTAATTTTAACCCTGGGAAAACTAATACTGAGTAGGCAATTTTCGCGATTTCGAGAACAAACATGGCGTTGTCCATAGAGCCGACAAGTAAACTGGCAAAACAATAGTTCCCATTAAAAATTAGCTTTATTATTTCAATTTGTTTTTCTAACAAAATCAACAATTTGTTTAACTTCCACGGATAACAGTATTTAATGCCTATCTGTATAAAACCGGTTTGATTGCATGGTTAAGAGAAATCCGAATTACAAAGAAGGCGAAACATATACAGTCGTCATCAGATCTACATATAAAAGAAATAAGTAGATGTGAACTTCAGTGAGATTGAGACGAAACAAGTTTAAAAACAGAGCATTTTCTCTTAAATGCTACACCCACACAATCTAACCTCTTTCGGACACACACGCACACACGCAATAATTAAATCATCTTAACTCTATATCACCCTTGATGACACAATATGACAATTGTTTGTCATACGACGGCCGTTCATAATTTGGTATGTGTTTTATTGTTTATATATGCCTCTAATTAGGACTGAGTACTACGCTACTTGACCTATTATAGTGGACGTATTTATTACTTCTGATTGTTTGCAAACACGGTGATTTGACACTAATAGTATTTTTCGGTAATGAGGAAAAAAAAATGAAAAAGGTGATCAGGAGAAATTAATTGGCGTCTCATTCTAACGGGACAAATCTGATGCGTTACAAGGCGGAATATTAACAAAATCTACGGAACTATTTAGAAAAGAGAAAAGGTTGGTATATTTGATATTTATGTAAAATTTTCGTGTCATAGGCACTGCGTTTATTTTTTTCTCTGTAAAATCAAAACTGAATAAATAAAAATAGGAAGTTTTGACATCTTAAACCGGCACAAAAATAGAAAGAAAACAGAGCCCTACCTTTTTTCAAATTTTATTAGCCTCGTCGCATATTTTGCTCATTATTAATTTACTTATGAAATACTTGACCAAATGGGTCTCAAAATTCCAAAGTTCTTCTAAAATATTGTAATGTTTCTTCGTGTAAAGTTGACGCACCGGAAATACGTTTTGACGACTCGCATTGCTATGCATTATACTGTACTGTACTGTACTGTATTGTATTGTATTGTACTGTATTGCATAAAATGGCACGGTACTGCATTACATTATATTATGTTGTATTGCATTGTATTGTATTGCATAACATGACATTGTTTTGCATAACATTATATTGTATTGCATTGTATTGTATTGCATTTCATTGTACTGTATTGCATTACGTTGTATTCTGTTCTATACCTAGGAGAAAAGGGAACAAGAAATCTCTCAGTTATTTAAGGCTACTATGTTAATGTGATTTAATGTAAGATGTCCATTTAACTTATATACGTTGAAACTTAAACACGAACCTGCAACCCCCGAATGGTTTTTACAATTGGTATTTTTCATTTTCTTACTAAAAAACAAGTCACAAAGATTTAGCGTTTTACGAACGCTGCATAAATTATTATCGTCCCGGGTACTTATAGCTCCCTTAATTAATTGAATGGCCTAATGGCTTACGCTAAAGCAACATTGATAAAAAAGGGAAGATTTGGGAAGGAATGCAGTCCTAATAGAGAAAGCCGATCTTCTTTTAAATTAAGTTACGTATTTCTTACGACATTAATGTTTAGAGCGTTTAGTTCTCGGGACGTTCAGAATTATTGTGTACTAATTATATAATAAGTACTCGCGGCGACCTACAAGAAGCTTCCAGGTCGACAATAACTGCGACAGCTTCAGAAGAGGAAAACGCTTTAAAAATTTGTAATTTCAAAATTTAAATTCGTACTCCTCTGCAATCGCAGCTTTCCGTCAAATTTCGGTTAGGAAATTGGTGGGTAATTGGCGAGGTGTTCCAAATGTGCTTCGGAATTTCCTTTTGTAAGCCATTTTCGGAGAATTGACTGTCTACTGTGGCAGGATTCATGCCCGAAGGGACAGCCGCCTGATACTAAAATTTCAAAACAACCGGAGCTGTCAAAACCGAAATCTTTATGGTCGTCAATTTTAAGTAAGAAGGTAGTAATACAACTGTTACATATATATTCCTCTCAACTACTTGCATCCGTTGCAAGAAAGTTTTTTACGTGGATTTATTTTAACTTATGTATTTTTTTAAACAAACCAGACCAACAGTTCATCACAAGAACGATGTTTTTTAATAAAACGATGCGGACCAACATAAATTCACGTGTATGAAATTTATAAAGGATACAAACCAAAAAGAAATTACGTGACTCATATCTTTGAGAAAAAATACAGTTCAAGATAAAATCATGTGACTCGTATATATAATCGATACAGACCAGGATAAAATCACGTGACTGATATGTTCCACATAAAATCACGTGACTGGTATATATAACCGATACAGACCGGGATAAGATCACGTAAGAGATATATCGAAACGATACGTGACTCATACTACTATACCCATATAAAATCACGTGACTGGTATATATTAACGATACAGACCGGGATAAAATCACGTGACTGATATGTTAAAACCACACGTGACTGATACTGCACTGAAAGGCCCGTGCACAGGGTTAACGTCAAACAAAACAATCGTGGTTTTCTATCAATCAGTAGGTAAAATATTATAACTGTCAACGTAAGAGCAATAAACTGGGAAAATTGGTCAATTAATGCGACCTATGTGACAAATGCAACGCATAAATTTCGAGTGAGATATCGTATTCAATGTTTTGTAGACATTATTTTATGACTGACAATAACACCAGATATAATGAAGTCAAGGGAGAATGCAGTAACATCGCACTAATTTAGTTTTTCAGAGCCCTATATAGAATTTTTACAGAAAGAAGTGCCTTTGACCTTAAAGGGACTCCACTGAGTTTTTCTGACATGATGTGACTGGAAATGATTTTTCTGTATTAATGCTCCATTTGATGTAATTCTAGATAAATAACTTGTGTGCAAAAATTCAGATTATTCGCTCTTTCCGTTTTTTCAAGAAAATTATTCTAATTGTAAAAAATGACCCCACATTTGAAAAGCTTTGCAACGCTTTTCACTCGAATCGGGCATGAAATACAATTTTCAATTTATTTCTGAGGATACTCCTTATTATCTTGGAAATATCTTTCTGTTTTATATGTTAAAGCTGATTTATGTAAGAAATTCAAATGTTATATTTTAGGCTTTTAAACCTCAGTGGAGTTCCTTTAAAACTTGTTTAATCATGATGTACATAATGTCATGTAATCAAAGCTTAAGTTTTTGATCATAAAGTTTATACAAATTTAAGTCTATCTATACTACAGCCATTTTTGTGGCCTTTTATAATTTGGTTGTACATAAATTGATAATAAGTGTTACAGTATGGAATTAAGATGTGGACAAACAGGTCAGTCGGTAGAGCGTCCGGAACGGTATTCCGAACGTCCTCGGTTTTCTCAACCCATGATATTTGGTGCCCAACGTGAAAGAGTGATTGTATACAGCACCGATTTAATTTACTTTGACCCCTGTGCAAATTAGAAATTCAAAGACGAATTTTAATATACTGAAAGGGGAACAATTGCACATTTTGCTCACACTGGTTCATAAACTGACGGTGCTATATGGTAATAAACTTGTTATCACTAAGGTAACGCGCCAATCAATTATAGTTCCGCCCAAAGTATAGCAATGATGGCAAAAGAACCGTGGAAATGTTTCGAGAGCCTTATGCATCCAAATCTGTCATTGCTTTGAGTCCATTTATATGAAAATAGAAATATTTTAGATTCTCTGAATCTTCATGAAAATCTTATACTAAAAACATTTATATTTTTGTATTTTTCAGTGTCTCATGCATTGAATAACGGCCATGTTGTTTACATTGTACATCCTCTTTATACTCGTCATGACGCATGCGCTTGAAGCACTTCCGTTTCCGGACCCGGGATATTATGGTGATAAATTCCACAGCATTTTGAAGAAAGGAAACTCTAATAAAAAGGTTATTAAACCAGTAAGTAATCGTTTATTAAACTATGGTAAACTCTAGATATTGGAGATGGTTAACGCCAGAAAACAGCAAAATTACCGTTCTTTAAAAAGTCGTACAACTGTATGTGTAATGTAAAAATAGGTTAAATACAGCTTATTTTCTACAGAGCAGCACCATTTAGGTTACACCGATTTCTGGTTGTTACAGAGAGGTTTTTGCTCTGTAGAGGTTAAATTTATTGTAAATTCTCACTTTAATTTAAACTACCGTTGTAAAGAGGTGGCCGTTCTGCACAGTTACACAGTATAATAGAAAAAAAGATGTCCTATGAAATAAAATGCAATTTTATTTTATTTTA